CTTGGTACAACATAGTGGAATAGACTTAAAGAATGACATGAGGCTTCCCATTTAGGTGCTTTAAAACATTAGTGGAAACAATCTTCAGGAACAGATGAAACAGGACAGTAAGAGAAGTCTCTCAAAATGTGCTTCACCTACTATTTGGAAACCTAAATGAAACCCTGGGCTTCTCATTCTGGCACCATCTGCACAGCATTGAAGAACTGACCTAGGACGACTGACAGAAAATGTAGAGAAACAAAATCACACCCTTTTAAAGATACTAGCAAAAGTGATGTCAAGAAACCTCTGGGAACCATAGAGAAGACAGTAAGGGTAGGGCAAGTTGTCCTCCCTCCCTCCCAAAATAGAAAAAAGATGAAAGGGAAAAAAGGAACTTGTGCATTTTACTTCTCTTGTCTAGAGCCCTTCGAGGGACAGAAGGTAAAACAACAGCTTGGTCTCAACTGAGGATGCAACATCCACTACTTTACCATTTACACACTTTGATGCTTTGTACAGATAGATGCTAGCACTAAATTATGCAGTCACATGAGTCACAATGGAAACAAAAACATAAGAAACCAGAATGTCCTTCAGTGGATAAATACTTTTTCACTGGCTTTTGGAGTGAATTTTTGTAACATACTTATACTTTAAATGTTGTGAATTTTTGGAGCTGGAGCGATAGCACAACGGGTAGGGAGTTTGCCTTGCAAACGGCCAGCCCAGGTTCGATTCCCAGCATCCCATATGGTCCCCTGAGCACCGCCAGGAGTAATTCCTGAGTGCAGAGCCAGGAGTAACCCCTGTGCATTGCTGGGTGTGACCCAAAAAGCAAATAAATAAATGTTGTGAATTTTTCGTTTACTATTAGATCCAATTTTATTTATTTATATTAGTTTATTAGGTCTTTTTATTTATTCTCCAAGTTCTATATGAAAGGTGACATGAACAAATTTTGAAGTTCTGGGGAGATCTCCACATGGCTGGAGCACATTCATCATATGTGTAAGTCCCTGAATTTAATCCCCCAAAATACATGTTCTCCCCTATGCACAGCTGTGTGTGATCCTCATGGCACCCAAATCTACTGAGTCTAAGAAGCATAGCATTACCAGTTCCAGGCATTAAACTATTCATCCATGTGGCCAAATATCATGAGGAATGGCTACCAGGTCCTCAAGGCATTTTGAAGGAAAGTACTGGGGAATGATGGTACTGACGAGATGTGGGTGTGTTAGAAGGTGAAAATTTGAGGTAACTGTGCATGTGAATGAATCTAAGTGAACAATGAAATAAATGTTTTGAGGTCATGATCATGTGAGGAATAAAGTAAATATTGGTGTGGTGGCTACATGTGATATGAAGCAATTGTATGAACAGGTGTTTTGCACTAGTTGAAACTGAAGTGATATGTGAGACTCTAAGGAATGAGAACTGCAATGTAAGAGCTGGTGAGGAATGAAGTAACTAGTTTGTACATGCATGTGTATAATACTAGGTGAGGAAAGAAAGTACTAGGTCTGCGCTTTTTATGGGCACTGTAAAGTACAGGTGTGTGTATGTGACTAGGAAAGGAATTAAGTAGTGTTTGTGTGTGTGTGTGTGTGTGTGTGTAGCGAGGTGATAATGAAACAATGTGCAAGGCAAGCACCCTACCTGCTGTACTAAAGGGACCAGACATTTTAGTTTTTTTTTTTCTTCTTGGGTCACACCCGGTGATACTCAGGGCTTACTCCTGGCTCTGCACTCAGGAATCACTCCTGGCAGTGCTTGGGGGACCATATGGGATGCTGGGAATCAAACCCGGGTTGCCTGCGTGCAAGGCAAACACCCTACCCGCTGTGCTATCACTCCAGCCCCCCCCCCAGACATTTAAATTTTTATTGGCACCCTAAGTCTAGTAGATTAACCTTTAACTAGATGAATACTAATATTACAATGAGCCAGGGCCACAGAGTCAGCTCAAAGGGCTGGGGCCTGCTTTACACACTGGAGCCTAGCACTGCAGGGTTCCTTGAGCACTGATTCAGGAGTAGCCATGAGCAATGCTGGGTGTGACCCAAAATAAAAAAAATATATAAAAATAATAAAATGTAAGACTAAAATGAGTCCCTAAATATAAATACCCACTGAATTCCATGCCAACAGTTTTTCTTCTTTTTTTTTCCTTTTGGGGTCAAACTCAGGGCTTACTCCTGGCTCTGCACTCAGGAATCACTCCTGGCGGTTCTTGGGGGACCATATGGGATGCTGGGAATTGAACCCGGGTTGGCTGCGTGCAAGGCAAATGCCCTACACACTGTGCTATCTCTCCAGCCCACCAACAGTTTTTATACAGATCATATTTCTGCTTAAATTTAATCCTTAATCCTAACCCTACTGTTATCCAACCTCAAACACCAAATCTAATTCTAACCCAAAGTCTTCTGGTCACTCTCAGCACAAACTTCTAATTGCTAATCCATCCAGTCGTGCCTCCCCTCATCCTTACCTCCTCACACTGCACAGTCATATTCCCTGTGCGGCTGCCCTGGGCCGTGCTGCTGCCTGGCTGCCCCAAGCATCCCCATCCCCATCTCACCTGCTCCTGATCTTCCACAGGCCCTGAGTGCTGAACTGACACACCCACCCGGCAAGCACACCTACCACATGCTGGCAAAGCGGTCAGAGCCCCGGGAGTCTGGCTGCAAGCCTGCACACATTACACAGTAGCACTTTGGGTTTGGGTTTTGGTTTTTTGCTAAGTTTTATTTTAATCCAAGAACTTTGCTTCATACAAAATGTCATTGTAGAAACAACAGCAGAATCCAAAGTTTGGCTGATAAATATTACTCAGGCAGCAAACTAGTCAATCACAGGATTTTTTGGAAGCCAGCCCCAGTTGTGTTGCATGGTTGGGACTTCCCTTTTTGTTTTTTTAACACTGTTCTTAAATATAAAGTTTTGCAACAAACCTTTGATTTATATCAAATATAATTAAAAATTAACAAATGAATACATTGTATCAAAAAGTACGAAGATATACATTTTCATGCACATACTTGTATATATGTATATATGTATATATTTTACATGCACACATAACTTGTTCAAACTACAGCCACTGCTTGACTGGTTCCAGATGCAGACAATTGGTTGATGCATTTCAAATTTGGCAACTCACTATGAGATTTCAGGGAAAACAAGATAGCTGAGAAGAGACAGTACAGAAATAAAACCCATAGTCAGGAAAGCAAGACGATATCGCCTCCCCCCACCCTGTAATCATCACCAGTTCCAGAGGAGTTGTCTAGAAGAATCCAGAAGAGCCAGTGCAGCTGTGGGTTCTCACCCAACAGGCCTGGGGAAGCGGCTGCGATTCTGCACAGAATGGATACATTCAAGAGAACACGGGCTGGGGACCAGAGACAGACATCAATGTTGAGATGCACGCCCTTCTGCTGCACAGGGGCAGGAGAGCACATGCACAGCTGTGTATCTTACGGAGTGAAGTACTCTGTCATCATGAAGTTTCAGAGTGTTGTGCCTTTCAGTAAGGAGATTCTATAAAAGTTTGGTCACGGTCATGCTGAGCCGACACCAGGTAACGGTCTGGCTGTGTTCTGTGACACGTGTCTTTGTTGCATAGCCCTAAGGTGTGACAGCATCCACTCCTGGGACACACCTCCACACAGATGTGCACACACACCACATCCAAACTCCTCCACAGAGGGTCATGGAGCCAGGGAGCACTCAGCCTGGCAATCAAACCTCTGCACCCAGGCACGAGAACCTGCCACAGCCTACTTGTCCAAATGCTGCTTTGCCTCAGAAAGCAAAGCTCCTCCTCGCATCCTGGACACCACGGCTGCAGATGTGGCTTCCCCTTCTGGCAATGACCTGTGCCCAGAGAGCCCCTCAGCTACTAGAACAGGGTTCTCCTGTGCCCACCACCTCAGCCAGGCAAACCTGGTGGCTCACATTGCCTGGACAAAGGCTCCTCCTGCCCACTGTTGCCATACCTGCCCCTCCACTCCCCTCCTCCCTCTGCCTCTCCCTCTCTCGGTCTTACATGGAAAGCCTTAGAGACTGGTCTCATGCCCAGCTTGCTTGGCTGGCATCCCATCCCTGAGAATCGATGTGTACAGTCTGAAATGGCCCCCACAAGCACACTCTGCTTCCAGGAGCCCTCCTCTGTGAAGGAAGAGGGGAATGAGCACCCCAATGCGATGGCAGCCAGCCTTCTAGAGTGATCCAAGGGATCTCCGCTGGCAGCAGCTACTTCCTGGGTTGCTCTTTGGATGAGTTCCCGCACAGCCACCCGCAGTGGTGACACAGGCCTCATGTCACCGCCCCCAGGAGCCTGGCGCAAGCCTGGAGGTCAGGCACTTGGTCGAGAGCAGCAGGAGCCAGGGGTCACCCAGGGGACCCCTGGAATGGACACAAGAGCATCTCCTCATACAAGTCCCAAAAACACACCATGGAAAGTTGAGATGTTACAACAGGTTTGGTCTTTGAAGTGGTGTAACTTATCCTTCCTGTTTTTCTGGTTTTCTAGTTTTCCTAGATCAAGTATAGATAACTGACTAGAGATGGAATGGTGTTGTGATTAAAAACCCTAAATCAACAACGAAAGTGTTTTCCGGATTTGGTCCCCTCTAGGTGGACAATGTCTGGGAGAAGAGAGAGAACGAGTGATTGTGTTTCTTGTGTCCACTTGCTATTTAAGGTGCACAGAGCGAGGCTGGATGTGTGTGTTGTGAACACTGATGTGCCTAGCACATAGGGCCAGGCTCATGAGGCTGCAGCCCGATTTGCCATAGCTCCATCCTGAGGCTCGCCCTGGCCCTCTGGGCCACATATCTGGGCAGAGGCTGCCCCTACAAGATCCACACCTCACAAAAAGTTCCCAAGAAATGCACTGGGACCCACCAGTCCTTCTCAGCACACAGAGCTGCTACCTGGGTAGGGCCTGCAGGCGATACTCAGGGAGGCAGCATGTGGGGGCAGGCCACGTCCCTCAACAAACAGCATTACTCATCCAGCTGGTGCCAAGAGGAAAGCAGAGCAGAGGGGTCTCCAGCCAGCAGCTGAGGTCTGCAGCCCTGGACTTGGCACCCCTGAGCAGCCTGGAACCCAGCATGGATGATAAAACTCATCCACTGGAATGTGCCACTGAGCAGTGCAGCTAGCACCAGTGGTCTTGGTCAGGGTGGTGGTAGCTGTGCCGTGCCCGCCCGCCCGAGCTGAGTCCCAGGGTGCAGTGGTAGCCATTGGGTACGCGGCGGAGAGGGTGGGACTGCGAGGTCAGGGAAGACACATAGGAAGTCCGAGAGGAACGGCCAGAGTTGGTGGCCACGGCCTCCTCGAAGGTGAGTGTGTCCTCGGGCTGGGGGCGGGCAGTAGCATCGCTGTCCAGACGCTGCCCCAGGTAAGGGTCAGAGCCGATCCGGGAGCTAGGTGCCAGGGGCTGGCTGAGGGGCTCTCTCTGGAGCAGGGCATTGTGTTCAGAAAGGCCACGGCTAAGCCGGCCAGGAGAGAAGGCCGGTAGGCTGCTTTGAGCCCCCGTGAAGTGGACGGGTGAAGAGTTGGCTGTCTTGTAGGTGATGCTGGGGCGGGGGGTCAGGGGGGTCTGGGGAAGTTGTCTCCTCCCACTGCGGCCTGGGGTGCTAGCACCAGAAGTTGGCAGCATGGAGCTCCCATTAACAGAACCACCACCCTATGTGGGAACGGAACAGAGAGTCAGAATCAAGATAGAGTCAAGGAGCAAAGAATGGGCAGGGGCCTGGGACCCAGGCAATGAGGGGCACATGCAGTGGGAGAGGGGTGGGAAGATGGTAACCCCTGGGAGGCTCAGGATGGTAGCCAGGGGTGGCAGGTGACGGGCCAGGGAAGAGGAAGCCCCAAAGTCCAGACTTCATGCAGCTTGAACAGCGGTGGAGGGTCAGATGGAGGCAATCCAATGGGACAAGAGGGAAGAGGATCGCAGGCCTGTCACTAAGATAGGGGCCCGGCTCACCTGTCTGGGTGGTCCTGGCTCCTGTCCGGCTGTGGGAGACGTGGGGTGGCTGCTGAGGGAAGGCTTGGGCTGTGGAGGCTCGCGGCCCCCAAAACGGTCACAAGAGTAGAAGCGCTGCTTCTCCGAGGAGGAGGACGAGGGCTGCCTACGCTCCTGGGACCGGCCACGCTCCTGCCTGCGCTCCCGCCGGCAGCCTGTGGAGCCCTCTCCTGGGGGCGGCCCTGGTCCCACTGCGCTGCTGGGTGCTGCCCAGGAGGAGGAGAAGTTAGAGTGGCCAAGGGCCGCCCTCACCTACCAACAGGAAGTCTCTGGGGAATGTGGGGTGCTCCCTGGCCCTCAGGCCCAGGACTTACCACCCCTACTCAGGCGAGGCAGTGGGGTGGTGAGGTATCAAAAGGAGCTTCCATGGGCTCTCAGAATCCCCCACCCCAACCCACCTGGTGCCTGTACACACATACCCCTGTCGGCATCTGCACACAGGCTGGGCCCCTTCTCCAGAGACTTCTGCTTCCTGTCCCTGCGGCGGTGGCAGCGGTGGTGGTGGTGGGGAGCCGGTTGGCCTGTTGGAGCACGCTCCAGGGTGGTGTTGCAGAGATGAGTCACATGAGGGCGCTGGGGCGCCAGCGTAGAGATGGACCGCTTCATGGGGCTGGTGTCTGGGGCGGGCTGCATGCAGGCAGGACAAAGCTTACTGGGAGTGGACTGGGAAGGCCGCAGAGCAGCTAGAGACAGCACAACATGGAGCTGGGCCACCAGCCAGGTGAGCCAGGTTAGGAGACCTGGCCACGACCTCACCCCTCAGAGAAGCATCCCCTCAGCCTGGCCAGGCTGGGCCCTCCTGTGGATGGGTCCAGCAGGGACTGTCCCACAGAGAGCCCATCCTCACCGGCACCCTTGTCTTCTCTCATGAGAGCTCTGTGGGTGCCTGTGTCTCCAAGGCCAGCCATGGGCATCCCTTAGGAACAGGGAGGGCACCAGGAGGAGAAAGGCCAGAGCCAGCTGGTGGAACCAACTGGGGACCCAGAAGTACCCCACCATCTGTGCACCCCAGGATCACACAGCTGCAGGTGGAGCTCACCTGGGTACCCATATTTCATAGGCCAGAAGAAGGAAAGAGACATCGCATTGCAAAGCTTGCCAAAAGGAAGTGGCCCTCTCTGAGCCAGGTTCTCACACCCCATCCTTACATGCTCTTGGCTCACTCACCTGAGTTTCAGCAGCCAGGCGAGGCATTGACGCCGCCCGGCCCTGGCTCTCTAGTCCAGGGTGAGGTTCCCCATCAGGGCCTCGAAGGGCCATGCTCTGCATCTGGACATCCACAGCCTGGGGAAGATAGTGGCCCCTATCACACCTGCTCCATCCCTGGACCACTTTGCACCCCCAGTGTCCCCTCCACCAAGTCTAGCCCTGGGCGACTCACTGGCTTTCCTGGCTCTGCTAGCGGGATCTCAGTAGAGTGGCCACGTTCCAGGGGTATCTTGGCCTCATAGGGCACCTCTTGGGTCCTCTGGGTGCCCCAGGAAACAGACTCTTTGATGCCACTCTCTTGGGTCTGTCTGTGGAGAAGAAAAGAAAGTCCCATCAACTTAAGGGCCTCGTGTACAGGAATGCCCCAAGGTTCTGCCTGCCTCCATTCAGAACTCTCTTTTGGAGCCTGTGTTCTGGGAGGAGTGAGCCAATGGAATGGGGGACTCACAAGCACAGACAGAGAAGGGTGGGCCCCAGTGATGACAGTGATGAGCGCAGAGTGGGTGTGTGCCAGGCGGCAGCAGGGGCCTGCCCTAAGTGGGAGCTACGACCCTCATAACTCATGTCCAAGGAAAGTCCAGCCCAGAGCTCTGATCTTGGAATGTCCAACAAATCCTACTTGCTGGACAGGGGGGTCACCTATGCCATGGAAGAACAAGGTTAAGTATATCACTATGCACAGTGGCTAAGAAAAACCACATCCTGCCTTCTGAAGAAAAACTCACCCAAACAACCCAGAGCTCCCGCAGAGGTCCTTCCTTGTGGAACTTCCTCTTGTTCACCTCCAAACTGGCAGGGGCCTCCCCCTGCAGCCCAATCACTGAGGTCTTCCTGAGCCTCCTGTGTAGGCTCCAGCATCCCTTCTGGGAAAGTGGTCCACAGGCACACACACAATATGTTTTGCCTGCTCCCCTGCAGTATATATAGAAACTGCTCGGGGGTATGGTGCCGCCAGCAGGTTAATCTGTACCTGTGAGGCGAGTGCATCAGCAGCCTCATGGCACCTTCAGACTTCCAGATACCCCAAAATTGCTGCTGTGCCTTGGGCCAGACCCCAATAACTTGGGGCAAATTTTACTTAGAAGTAAATGGCCAAAAGTTAGGTATGGGGGAGACACACCCACAAACCACCTCTGGTTCATCTATATAATTGGAGGCATAGCCCCTCTGGTTCCTGATCGAACAGCTTAACGGCCATGATCCCAGAGACTCAGAAACAAATCTCAAAAAACCCAATGGCTTTTGGCAGAAATACGTCCGGTCCCTGCAGTAGGTTACTGGCACTGGGCCACCCCAGGTGGGAATAGGTTTCGTGACTTGGCCTGTTCCCCCTGGCAGCCCAGTGGCCATCATCCTCCAGAGGTCACTGGACAGTCAGGTTTGGGACCACAGTGACAAGACACGTGGGGACTCACGGGATGGGGGTGGAGCTGGTCCTTTCCTTCCCGTCCCAACAAAACCCCAAGTCGCCACCCACAAAGAGCCTCTCTGGCTCCTGATCAAGCTGCTTAATGGCCATGATCCCAGAGACTCAGAAACAAATCTTGAAACCCAGCGGCTTTTGGCAGAAATGCGTCCAGACCGCGCAGTAGGTTACTGTCGCCAGGCCACTGCAGAGGGCAAAGGGCATTATCCCTCCGCCTGCTTCCCCTAGGTGGCTCGGTAGCTGCCATCCTCCAGAGGCCATTGGGCAGTCAGGTTTGGGCCCTCAGTGATGAGACATGTGGGGCCTCACAGTATGGGGTGGAGCCGGCCCTTTCCTCCCCGTCCCGACAAGACCCCGAGTCGCTGCCCATGAACGGCCTTTCTGGCTCCTGCTCAAGCTGCTTAATGGCCACGATCCCAGAGACTCAGGAACAAAACTCGGAAGCCAGCAGGTTATGGCAGAAATCCCTCCAGATATGTGTTAAAATTTCAGAATTTCAAAATCGCGCAGCTACTACTGCAGCCATGTGACATCATATGTTATTCTTAACCAGCAATAGAAAACAAATTGTTTACTGTTGCCTTTTCAGCAGATCTGAGTGTTGGAGTAAAATTCCAAATAATAATGGTGGGTCTGGTGTCAAAATATTGAATGTAATCAAAGTAGAGAGAGAGTAATTTGGAAATCATCTGCCCCACAGGTAGGGGGAGGGTGTGGGATACTGGGGTTTTTGGTGGTGGAGAATGGGCACTGGTGAAGGTATGGGTGTTTCAATGTATGACCAAGACTCAAACCCGAAAGCTTTGTAATTGCCCTCACGGTGATTCAATAAATAAAATTATAAAAAAAAATGAAAAAAAAAGTAAGGTGGAGTACATGCCCAATTCAATCAGCTAATCAGTGGCTGAATAAATAACAGTACTCCTACATTAAAAAAAAAAGAAAGAAAGAAATTGCTGCAGTCTCCTGAAAGGCTAACAGGACAGAGCTGGGAAGACAGATGGCCCAATACCAAATGCCCTCTGAATTCAAACAAGAAAAAGGAAGGCATAGGGAGCAGAGAAAGTTCTTTCCTGAACTGAAAGCCTGTTCTGATGAGTCCACACACATCACATCTGCTCAAGTATACACTAAGAATGTACCGTGCCCCCCCCACGCACACTCAGAATGCACCATGTTCCCCCATGCAAACTCAAAATCCACTATGTCACCCCCACATGCATACTCAGAATGCACCGTGTTCCCCTATGCAAACTCAAAATCCACTCTGTCACACCCACACGCACTCAGAATGCACCGTGTTCCCCCATGCAAACTCAGAATCCACTATGTTCCCCACAAATTCACACTCGAATCCATCATGTTCCATACACACACACACACACACACACACACACACACACACACTCTCTCTCTCTCAGTATCCACTGTGTCCCCAATGCATGTAAACTGAGAATCCACTGTGTAACCCCCCTCCACTCACACACACCTGCACACTCAGAATCTACCATGTAGGTGCATACCCAGCTCTTCCTTGGCATGCAGACAGTACGACAAATGCATGGGTTCCAGGAGCAGCACACATCACAGGGCAGTATGTGCACACCCTGGCAGTGGATTTCTGTAGAGGAGTATCCTGGTGTGAGCCACTGTTCTCATAGCTGCAGCTCCTTTGACGTGAGGCTCTGTGCAACCAGGAGCCCAGACTGGCCCAAGGAGGTACAGGGAAGGCTGGGCTTCACCTCAGGGGCCATCATATGTACCTCCTGTTCACTGGACTGGATACAAACCCACCCCCAGCAACATAATGGTCAAGCTGGTCCCTGCCTCCAGATGGCCACACCAGTCCCTGCAGGCCACCATAGCAGGGAGAGTAGCCATTCTGGGCTTTACCTGGATGGTCACACAGCAAGAGCTATATGAGACTAACACTGCTGATTTGCCTACAGGTGCAATTGCTTCAGAAATCCTTCTAGAGTGGAGATGCTGAGAGGGTTGCTATAAGGGTCAGGAGCTGGGCAACAAAAGGCCATGAGCAGATGAAATGCTTCCTCTTTAAGAAACTCAATCCGAGCCAGAGGGCAAGAAGCCCCACACTTGAAAGAAAGAGACCAACACAGTGGGGTAAGGAACTCCAGGGTTAAGGGAGTCAGGGGTCCCACATCATGGGCCTCAGGTCCATGCCCACTGACATTGCTCATGGTGACCTGGTCAGTGGCCACAGAAAATCTGTGCAAGAGTGCAAGCTGCGGCACAGTTCACATCTGAGAGTTGCCAGCCGAGGACAGGATCTGGAGAAATACTGGGAGGTGGAGAAGCTGAATCCTGTCCTCTTTCCACCACATCCCAGCCCAGATACCCACACTGTACCTACAGCTGAGAAGCCCCGCTCTCCCTCTATGCTGGCCTATTCAGGTACTCACACTGCCCCGCCATTGCTGAGAGAGGCTGAGCTCTTCTGCCGCAGGAAAACCCGGGCTCCTCGGAGTACTGCCGGCTGTGTCTGCTCCAGCGTTGCCTTCAGAGGGTGGAACAGGGACACCGGGCCCATCTGCAGCATGGAAATGGTACAGAAGAGCTCTGAGGGTCAACATTGCTCCAAGCCCCCCCGCACAACTGTGACTCAGAAATCTGCCTCCAGTCCAGGACCGGATTGGAGTCCGGGGGGCCCCTCCTGCCCCTACAGCTCCTCTGTGAGGAAGTGGGATCTCTCTCTTCTTGGATCCAGAAAAGCCCAGAATGTTCTGGAGCCTTGATGTCACACTCCACATGAGGTGACGCGACTTCATCTTGTCCACTTGGACTGTTGGTAGTAGAGCTGCAGGTGCGTTGGCCAGAATCCCAAGATTCAGAGCTGGGGCTGCCTGCACAGACACAGAGGCTATGGTGGGAGCCTCAGGGATGCCTATCACAAGAAGGGGGTTCCCCTGACTAGCTCCAAACAGTGGCTTACAAACCATCTGCACATGGTCAGAGCATCTGCTCTGCACTCTCCATCTTTGTGCAGGTCACCCCGCACCTCCACATGTGCTCAAGAACTTTCTCCTCACTGGTCTCTTGGATCTCCTTCTATTCTCTCTCCTCCAGGATCAACAGCATTGCCAGGGATCTGTCCTCAGCTCCTGACCTAGATAAGTACCCTATATACCAGCACTCCAAGATAGTCACCTCTAGCAGGTAAGCAGGCAGCCAGCCAGCTCAAAGGAAGAGGTCGGCAGTGGTTCTGAGAGCTAGCGAGGCAGCTGTAAGTTATCGTTCTTTCCCACTGCTTTTGCCCCCAATAAGGTAGTAAGGGCCTGAAAGCTATGGAGCAAGCGAAGGGTCCAGCCAGCAAGGTCCCCACTGCTTTGGAGGCTCCTGGACCCACCAGAAGGGTTCCTACTGATTCTAAGATTCCTGGTCCTGGTACCTGGGACAGCCCTCCAGGAGCTTGGTGACTCTGGTCTCTCGTGGTTTTGTTCTGCTTGTAGAAATCAAAGATCATCAGCGCTGCATAGACCTTTCCCACTGTCATCTCATCAGCTGGAGAGAAGAGTTGGAGGAGGGCAGAGAAGCACAGGAAATGTGAGTGCAAATGTGGTGAGACTCGTGACCTCATCAGCCACGCTGGTGTTGCAGTACCCACACTGAACGACCCCAGTCAGTTGCCCACAGTAACCTACCCTCTGTGTCCCCAGCTTCGACCCTTTGAGGACACCCCCTGGACTAGGACCATCCCACTCTGATTCCTACAAAGAATGTGAGATCTGACCAAAAAATGAAATGAACTCTTTTCTCTTTAGCTCATAGTGTGTGCATCTTGGGGTGGGGGCTCCTGTAAATTTCCTCTAGACTTCTTGAAGCAGAAAAGAAGGGTGCTGCTAACTAAATTCTCCCACAGTTGCTATGCTTCACAGACTTCCCCAAAGATGGGCACTAGTGGCAGTAGTGGAGTCCACTGACTGGATTAAATGGCGGCCCCACATCACTCCCCTCAAGCCTCTGGCAGGGACAGGGTGGGGAGGACAAGGTGAGTCTTTCACCCCCGCTTACGTTTATGAGGTGGCACCAGTAAATCCAGGGTCTTCTGGGGCAGATTGGCCCACACAGAGGAAATCTCCTTCCTCAATTCTGCGTCACACTGGTGTTGCTTTGTGCCAGCTGGAGCAGGACACAGGTGGGGAGGAGAAGAGAGACATTAGGAGCAAGCCCAACACCCTGATGGAGAACAGGTGGGAGAGATGGGGTGGGGAGGGTGGGGAAAGGCAGAGTCAGTGCTGGAAGCAGGTCTGAAGAAAAACCAACCTAGAGATATAAAGTTGTGAAAATGACATGTGTGTTCACGCACATGTATGTGTGCATGTATTCCTGGGCACACATATACCTGTGCACTTCCATGCAAGTGTACATGCATACGCAAATGTGTCCACACATTTATTATCTGTGTGTGGACACACGCATGTGCACAGCTGTGTTCTCACACACACACATGTGTATTTGTGTTTTCACGTATATGCACTTACAGGGGTCTGTGGACTGTACACTCATATGCACTGCTTGGGTATGTCTCCGCGTGCACTCGCATGGCTACATGCTTCCATGCAGCTATGTATGCAGTCCTATGGGGACATGTGTACACAGGAGGGAGGTGCTGATGATCCAACTCATCTTAATACTACCTGAGTGCCCACGAGTTGTCAGGCACTACCCTAGGTGAAGAAACAAATCCCAAAGAAACAGTTCTTCTAGACTTAAGTTGCATTTTCAAGAATCCAAGAGCATTAAGTTTAAATAGTATGTTGGAAAAAAGAAAGAACAAATGGGAAAGGAGCGAGATTCTGAGGAGGGATGCAGGTTTGGAGAAGGCTGACAGGAAAGGGCTCAGGACCGAATGGCAGGAATGCAAGATCTGAAAACACTGCCAACTGGAAGACTGGGCTGTGTCATGGAGGGGCTGGGAGAGGGAGGAGTGGGGGCCAGGCTGTTGAGCAGGTCAGAGCATAGATGTTCAAGCAGAGGAATGAAAAGAGCTGATTTATCTTTCATTAACGTTGGTTTATTAAGTGCAATCTATATACGGTGAAGTTCACCTCTGCAATGATCCCATCTGACTTTCAGAAAGTGCAAAGTCAGGGGCTGGAGTGATAGCACAGCAGGTAGGGCGTTTGTTTGCCTTGCACATGGCCCGACCCTGGTTCGATTCCCAGTATCCCATATGGTACCCCGAGCATGGCCAGGAGTAATTCCTGAATGCATGAACCAGGAGCAACCCCTGTGCATTGCTGGGTGTGACCCAAAAAGAAAAAAAAAAGTGCACAGTCATTTACTTTTACTGTGAAATCCATCTGTGGCCACAGTTCCTGCTGGAAGCTTCTGCAGACAAAGCCTTGCCTCCCCCCAGCCCCTGAGTTGTTTCCTGTCTTCCCTTTCTTCATTATTCCATGTGCTTGAATCTGATGCTTCAGCTCAGCTCAATCCACAGGCAAATCATCCATGGGGGTGGATGTATGGGCTGATCACTGCTTCCTGCTGACTTCCTTCTCATTTTCAAACACTAGCAGAGTTTGTCACTCACTAGAGTGCTTTGTTGTGTGGGGCAATTAGAATAAAGATTTGCAAATTAGAATAAAGACTTGCAAATAAACATTTGCAAAGAGGGTTAATATTTTTTTTGCTTTTGGGTCATATGCGTACATTAGTCTAGGCTCAGTGCTCAGAGTTCTCTGAGTTCACTGATAGTTCACTCAGGGAACCATGTGGAGCCAGGAATCAAACCAAGCCCTCCCCCATAAAGCATGTACTTCACCCCTCAAAGTCATCTACCCAGCCTCAAACAAAGGCTTTTGTGTGGCTATGTTTTCATCTCATCCCAGTAGGAGGATGGGTCATACAATAACTATCAAACTTTTTTCTAAAGTGGCTCTGCCACTTTGTGTCACACCAGGAACACAGAAGATCCTATTTCTGTATTCTCAACAGCACCAAGTCCTGCCATTCTAAACAACACTGATAATCTAGGGATGTGTCCTGCATGCATGTATCCCTGCATTCAAAGCCTTGCACCACATGGGCTACCCACACTGAAGCACCCACGGGTATGGACCCCACAACTTCTATTTTAAACTAGCATTTTTGTCATTCAAATGTGCACAAAGAACATATGAAAATGGGGTCTCATTTTGGATTTCTCTCCTCATACTGCCATGAGCAAAAAGAGAAGAGTTGATTTGCTGTCTACAAATCTTCTCTGGAAATGCGTCGATTCAAATATTTGCACCATTTTTATTGGGTTGTTATTTTTCTCATTACTGACTTGTGATAGATCTTCACATATTCTGGAAGCAAATCCTAGCCTAGATGTGTGTTTTCCTATGTATTCACTCCAAGGGTTTGGTTTGTCTTTTCTCAATTTCTTGTCTTCTAAAGAGCAAAATTGTTTTAAATTTTGATAAAGGCCAATTTTTCCACTTACTCCTTGATAGATTATGCATCTTTGTGTCTTTAGAACGATTTGCCTAACAAAAAATTGCCTCTTTCCCTCCTGTGTTTCTTCTAAAGGGACTATCACTATTAACTTCACACTTAGCATGTGTGACTTCAGCACAATCCAAGTTAAAATGAGGGTGTGTGTGTGTGTGTGTGTGTGAGAGAGAGAGAATGTGTACGTGTGTGTGAATGGTATTTGCTATGAAGTCTGTATCCCCCACGAGGTTGAACCCCCAGTGTGGGGTTACATATTTAAAGATGAGATTTAGAAGGAAACAAGGTGATTAAGGCATCCGAACAGACCCTGCTGCAAAGGTGAAGAAGCCTCCAGAGAGCTGTCCCCTCTCCCCACATGCACTAGGAAGGAAAGCCCAGCTGAGTATTGGTCAAAGCCCATTGCCTGAATGAAACCTGCCTCCAGGCTCTGATATCTTGGATTCACAAGAAACAAGTTTCTGTGCCTATTCCACTTCGTCCGGCATTCAGTTATGCACTTACCAAGGTTTCTGTATTCCGGTTGTTTGGCATATTGTCTAACTTTCTCTAGCACTATTTGCTGTGATCTTTCCTCTGTGAGTTGCCTATGTAGCTTGAAAGCTAGTGGACTTTGTATCCATGAAACTCTGACTTAAGTCTCCCTGGGGTCAAGGGATCCGTCCTCACACTGGCACTTTGCGTTCTTGTTTGTGTCTTTGCTTAAGGGGAGGAGAAACAGGTTTTCCAGCTTTGATTTTTTTTTTTTAATGGTGACTGGCACTTAACCAAAACCAAAAAAAAAATTAAGTTTAAATTTCAAAACTTGGGTTGTTTTATAACTTTCTATTCAAAAAGGCCACTGGGATGTTGTTGACTAGGGTAAAGCTAATTATTTATCATTGTGGGGAAAACTAATATCTTACCAAGTTTGAGTAAGATATTAGTTTTCATGGTAGCTGCAGTAATAGAAAAAAAATTTTCTTTTAGAGGCTGTACCCAAAGGTTTCTTCAGAGCAGGAGGGGCATGGGTCATGCAGAGATAGGCATTAAACTTACTACCTGGCACATGAATACCACTTGAACATTCTCTCCAACCCAGTAGATAGAATATTTTATAAAATTGAAGTAAATTTTTGCAAATATTATGCAGAAGACATGCATTGCCAGGCCTTGCCCATTGATAAAAGAGATATTCTTTTTCTTTTTTTTTTTTTAAGAGATTTTTCTTTTGCTGGTACTTTACGAAAGGACTTTTAAAACTTTTCTACTGGCAACACTTTTAAACCCAAGAAATGCAGCAAGAATGCTATCAGAAGAAGCATCTTGGATTCATTTCAGGGTTGATTTTAAATTAATTTTTGGTCATTATATACTCAGAAGCTTTTCACTGTTGTCAACTGTTTTCAACCCCCTCACACGACCCTAGGTGGGGTCGCAAACTGGTTTAGAATACCTAATGCCCATCTGAGTTGATGTTAAGTTTTAATTATTAGATATGAAGAAGCACAGAGAGTTGATAAGTTTTATGCTTTTCATTCTTAGAAATGTTACCGTACTAAACATTTAAGAATTGATAGAATTTGTAAATTTGTAATATATTGTTGCTGTCTCATTCCTACTTTGGACAAACTGGCAGGTTATTGAATGTAGCATGCCCACAGGGCAGAGTCTGGCAAACTCCCCTTGGCGTACCCAATATGCCAAATACCAGTAACAATGATGGGTCTCATTTTCCTAAAGAGCCTTGAATATAAACTCAGGGCTAGGATGAAGGAGACGTTACTGGGGCCTGCTCGAGGCAATCGATGAATAACAGGATGATTTGTGATTAGTTTTCATACTTCCCACTCATGAATGTGGTACAGGTCTTCATTTATTTATATCTTCTTTGATTACTTTAGTCAATTTTTGTTTTGTTTGTCTTGGGGCCACAGCTAGCAGTGCTCAGGGCATAATCCTGGCTCTGCACTCAGGGATCGTTCCTGGTAATGCTCTGGGACCATAATGGGTAGCAAAGATCAGGTTGACTGTGTGTAATGCAAGTGCCCTGCCTGCTATGTGGTCCCACTTCAATTTTTGAAATACAGCATATAGATCTCACAGAGATATTTTTTTAGAGTTATCCAACAAGAGAGAAGCACTTCATGCTCTCATTATTTTAAGGGAACTCTCTTGGGGGGAGGGGCTATACTCAGTAATGCCTGGGGGCCACTTTGCAGCTGTCTAGGGGACCCTGGGGTGTCAGGGAGTGGAAACAACATGCAGACCATAACTCAGGTAAAAAGTTCTCCAGCCGTAAATCTTCTTTCCATCTCTGCGTAGTTAATTTCTATATAGGAAAATATATTTATTTTTTGTTTATTGACCTTATATTATGTGACCTTGCTGAACTCCTGGCTTAATTTTAGTAACCTTTTTTATGCCTTTAAACAACAGAAACATACTGTCTCTACTCTGGAGCCTACCTCCAAATCACCATGTCCGCTGGCTATACTGCTGCTGAAGCCTTCACACAGGCCCTCCCCCGCCTCATCCCACCTTGGACGTATCCAACAACACTTGACATGCTGAGGCCTACAGATGCCTTACCTTACTTTTATAAGATTCTTAGGTGTTTCCTCCAGAGAAAATTATGCCATCCAGGACCAGAAATAGTTTTATTTATTCCCTCCCGATGGCAAACCTTATTTCTGGTTCTCACCTTCTTAATTTTTACCTAAATAAGGTCAATTTAACTATGAATTTATGAATTTAACATTTTACCTAAATATGGGGGTGACTTAGATTATCTTTCAGATTATCTATTATTGATTTAGCTTCACAGTTTGCATCAAGGAAACATCTCATTTAAACTGAGAAAGTTGGGGCTGGAGTGATAACACAGCAGGTAGGGCATTTGCCTTGCATGCGGCCAACCCGGGTTTGATTCCCAGCATCCCATATGGTCCCCTGAGCACCACCAAGGGCAATTCCTGAGTGCAGAGCCAGGAGTAACCCCAAAAAGCAAAAAAAAAAATAAAATCAACTGAGAAAATTGCCACAAAGAATTTATCACAGAATCTCCTTATAGCCCATTTAAGTTGCACAGGGTCTATATCAATGTTTTCTCTGACTTCTTATATAGGTTTTTTTACTTTTCTCACTCTTCTTTCTTGACTGGTCTAGCAGAGGTTTACTGATTTTACTGGCTACATTTGTCACATGACCATTCTGACTGTTGTGTGAAGAACAGTGAAACAGTAACTGGCCAGTTGAAAGGCTACTTCAGCCACTCAGTCCAAAGATAACAGAGAGGGGGCTGGAGCAATAGCATAGCAGGTAAGGCGTTTGCCTTGCATGCAGCCAACCCGGGTTCAATTCCCAGCATCCCATATGGTCCCCTGAGCACTGCCAGGAGTAACTCCTGAGTACAGAGCCAGGAGTATTCCCTGTGCATCACGGGGTGTGACCCAAAAAGAAGAAAAAAAAACAAAGATAACAGAGAGATATGGACCCTGGGGTGACTATGGTAGAATACAGAAAAGTGACCATATTATTTATGGCTGGAGCTTGAAGAAAGAGTCAGAAAATATAAGGGGTCAGCTGTGGAACCGAGATGGGGAAGTAAAAGAAAAGGAGGGAAGAATGAACCTAATGGTTCTAACTTCAGGAGCTGCGAAAGAAGAGTTCCCAGTGAGGGGGCAGAAGGTTCCAGTTTGGGCAGGTGTACTTTGGGGTGCTTGCTGGGCCTCCCGGGAGACGTAGAACAGTTCACATCCAACACTGCTCATTGAAGCCATGGGAAGAGGGAAGATGACATGGACAGTCTGGGGCACATAGTGACATTCAAGGGTTGAGAGCAAGAGAAATCAAGAACAATTACAATAAAGTGCCTCCCAAAAGAGGGAGTGACGACTGAGAAAAGGTTGGAGGGTCCATAGGAAAGTGGCTGGGCACGGGGAAGACAAAAGCAAGCCTGATGCAAGACAGGCAGAAAAATCCCAGGAACAACTTAGCCTATGACTCAAGGAGCAGGAGAGTTCTGGGCACGACATGCCCTTGAAGACAATGACAAGGACCTGGACTCGCCTTGACTATTTGCTCACAGGATGCAGCAGCACAGCACAGATGCAAGGAGCAAAGGGACAGATCCTCATTTTCTCCATGAAGTGGTCTGGGAAGAGGATACTGGTCAGGCACAGTCCCTCTTCCGAGGAGGGACCTTAGTGGGGACTGGGCCTCCTGTGGCCAGGGCAGAGGGCACGCAGACTCTTGAGCCTAGCTCCTGTGAAGCTATACCCAGTCTGTGTTCAGCTATGACTCTTGCTAGCTTCAGGAAACTTGGAGAAGACACCGAATTCAGCACTCCTCTCTCCTGATCTGAAAGTGGAGTTTCTACAGTGCTCACTCTTCTTTCGCAGCTCCTGAAGTCAGTAAGCAATCAGGGCAGCTGACCTCAGCTACCTCCAGATTGCCACACCTCACCCCTCCCCATACAGCCTTAGTCTGGGGCCCTCCCCTCTGAACCTGCCTTGCTCACCTGGAGCCAGCTTGATCTCCAGCGCAGTCCTGATGAGGGCCATCAGTGTGGATGTGAAGTGGACGGTCATGTCCTCGTTGGAGATGGGCATGTTCATGCGAACCAGGCGCTAGGGACAAGGGATGCAGGTCAGGGCCAGGCCTGCAGAGTCCCCTGCTGTGGGATTGCACTGTGCTCAAGTCCTCTGAAGGCTTGGCTTGACTCTGGCGTGGGGCTCCCTACTTGTGCCTGGGCATAAGCGAGGTCAGGAAGAGGGGGTTTGCCAGCATTCACACTCACTCGGGGACCCTACTCTCATCTGAGCTGTGGGTTCTCCTGACTCAGAACTACCCAAGTGCAGGTAAAGTCTGTAACAGGGGTTAAGCCCAGGAGCCTGGCTGCCTCGGTGAGAATAGGCCCGTCCTCAGCTAGAGTGACACGTGGCTGAAACTGGGTGTGTGACCCAGGAAGGCTGTAATGCCAAGGCTAAGACTTGCTGGCACAGGCCACAGCACGAAGGCAGACCCTTCCCCATCACTCTCTGCCCTGAAGCCTCTGGACAGGGGCAAGGCAGCCCAGGCCCAGCAGCAGGCCAGCTCCCGGTGATGCCCCAGAAGCCCCAGGACTCCTCCTCCCATCACCCAAGCAGGAGGGTGCTGGGGCTTCTGGATGCCTCTTGCCCGACAACAGGGACAACTCAGAGACCAACTCTTTGCAGTGGGAAGATTCCAGAGCGGAGATGACACAGAACGCCCAGGGGAGCAGTGCTCCCTTTTCTCTCTGGAGCTCTTGGGGACAGCAGCTGGAGATAGACACGGGTGAAGCTGCACTGAGCTTGGGGCTCTGAGGAGTGGGGCACTCCTAAGGACCAAGAGGACAGCTAATCTGTGCTGCTCTGAGCTGGTCACGCAGAGTCCCAGGGCCACAGGTCCTGAACCCTCCCAGCAGCACTCGGCATCTTACTGGGGAACAGGGTCCCTCCCTGGGCTCTTACTATCCTCTGCCAAGCCTACTACGGATTACCTGAGCCTCTCTCTGGAGAGAACCACAGTGCCCAGCTCTGACCTCGGCTGGATGTGGCAGGAACCCCGACGGTTCCCGGAATGCTGGCAAAGCCCCACCGGCACATGGATACCCAGTCCAGAGCCTCACACATCACCTATGTGGGACACACGCAGAGCGCAGTGCCCTGCAGGTTAGCACTGCCCACAGTGGTAGAGGCAGAGTCCTGCCAGAGAAGGTGGGGAGTCAGGGATGGACAAGGAAGAGGAGCAAGCAGGTGATTCCCAAGAGAGAAGAGCTCAGTCCAGGGCACCTTCACCAGAAACTTGTCTGCCTGCCCAGGTCCAAAAGGGCCAGAGATCCAGGGTGCAAAGGAGGGGCCAGCCCTCTGCAACTCCATTCCAGTTTTGGCGCCACCATGAGGCTGGTGCCTTCACACCCACCCTCCTGCCTCCTGTGTCTGTCCTCACAGCCGTGGAGGGGATCCAGAGACTCCCTTGTCAGAGTCCTCCACCCACCCTGGTCCCAGTGCCAGTGTGGACAGAGCTCTCCCTCTAGAGACAAAGCTGCAGCCTTCATGCAGGGCCTCAGGAGGGCGCAGCATGCACTCATGGTGGGGTTGGGGGCTGAGGAAGATACCAGAAGCACCCCCAGGTGACCTGGGGGAGTGACTCAGCTCACAAAGGTGGTGCTGAGCCGGGTGGCAGACACAGGCCCAGTACCAGAGCAAGGGACACATGGTGTGATGACACCAGAGACTGGAGCTCTGAGAAGAAGGCGGCAGGAAGGGCAGAGACACCTGGAGCTGCACTCCAGGGCTCCGTCGCTCTGTCCGCTGGGGCCCTGGGGGTCTTGGCAGGGTAGGTGGGCAGGGGAGGGAGCTGGGGGTAGAAGGTGGGGCTGAGGAACTGGGAGGGGCAGTGTGGGGCTGGGCCCTGGGTCCTGCCTGCCCTCCCTTCACCATCTCCACCTTCAGCATAGCCAAGGGAGGGGGCATGGGACCATGTGCTCTCGAAACCGCTCTCTGGCTGTGCTCTCCGTATCCCTGGAGGAAGCCATCCCTGGCATCTAGGTCTTTGAGAAGCCCTTGGGCTCCTTCCCGGCACAGCCTACAAGATGCTAAAGCAGTGGTCTCTCCCAGAGAGGCTACAGGCTGGGCTGGGCTGGGGCAGCTTTGGCCTGAGCTGGGTGGGTTAGGGTGGGGCTCCACAGGGGCCAGGCTCCCTGGGTTGTGCCCAAGGGCTGAACCACTGCACCCATGCCAGGGACTTAGATGAGAGTGGAGAGGAGTGTGGTCCTGACCCCAGAAAAGAAGCAGCCTCTGTCCAAAAATTGGGGGTGTTCTCCCATTTCTAGAAGGGGGAGGAAGATGAAGCAGGTGGGAGGCTGCAGTGTGGTCTTCCTGGGTCTGGGGGCTCACAGAGGGATTGCCTGGGTGACAAGGGACGTAGCAGACAAGAGCACAGTGTCTTTGTCCCTTGATCTGGAAAGGAAGCAGAGATGATTTGGGCAGGGAGAAACAGCGAGCAGCAGAGCAGCAGCCAGGTGGAAAAGCTGGGAGAGCAGGCGGCCAGCCTGGCACAGACAACGCCGTGCAGGGTCGGGGTCTACCTTGTAGGCAACACGCGCGGGGCACTTCTTCCCCAGCCCCAGGGGCGGGGACATGTGCTTCAGCATCTCAAACATGTCATTGTAACTGATGCGCCCACTGGACCCCCGGCCCAGAAGGCAGAGGCAGAGTGGGGTCCACAGGAGGGGTGTGGCGGGAAGGGCAGGGGAGGAAGCAGACAAGAAAACAGATCCGGTTAACCAGCGTCCGACTGAATGCCAAGGTCCAAGTAAGTGAGTGAGGGGCTTCTCTGCAGACAGCCCCTCTCGGCCCCCCTTCTCACCTCTGCACTACAGGGCAAGGGGGGGCGGGGTGATATCTGAGCTAATGAACATGGAGCAGGAGAGGGAGGGCGGCATCCGGGCGGCTTTGGGTTGCCCCTTCTGATCGCACCATTTTAGGAAGCAGAGCGAATGCCAATGAGGAGGAGCTGACCTCCATCCCAGCACAGCAGGCTGGCAGAGCTTCACGAGCGGGGTGCCAGCTGGAGCACCAGGGCACACGGGCAGGTCTCCTTGCCCTCAACGTGCTCCCAGGTGAGCTTGAAGGCTAGAGGAGAGGAGCAAAGTCTAGAACCAGCCAGAAAGCCAGAGCAGAGCCTCCCTGCTCTGCGAGGAGCCCAGGGCTCCAGACAGACTGACTGGGAACACTGGTGCAAGCCCAGAGATGCTGGAGGCTAGCCCAGGGCAGGGCTGCTGCTGAGGGTTGGAGCTGGGCAGGAGGTGGGAGACTGCGGAGCGGACAGCTGCTGGGACAGGGCATGGAGCCACTCCTGTGCCCCCAAGAGTTTGTCAGAGACAATGGGGGCCAACACAGGGGCACAGGCTCCAGGCTGAGAAGGTGTGGAGGCCAACGGCTGCATCGCCCTGGGAGACAGAGGCTGCCTGGCAAGGACCCTGCCCTCCACCTGCTCATGGGAACTGCAGGCACCCAGAGAAACTGTCAGTTCAGGCCCCCATTGGGGAAGGGGACAGCCCACTTCTGGCAGGTGGATCTGATTCTAGGCCTGCCCCTCCTCCCAAGGCCCCCAGCCTCTGCTGAGTCGATCAGTTGAGAGGTGAAATGGGGGCCTGCCTGTGAGCCCCACGGTCTGTCCTCCTGTCCCCGGTTTCTGAGTCTTTTTGGCTGGGAGAGCACTGCTCACACACTCCCCTCTGCCGGGCCCTTGGCCTGCCAGTCCACCTCCGAGAGCTCAGAGGCAGAGCCTGGTGAAACTGGCCTCTGTGGTCTATCAAGCAGCCTGCTCTCGTCCTCCAGGCCCAGCCGGGGACTCTGCACTACCTCACAAGGGTGCCTGTCCTCAGCCAGCTGGAGCAGTCTGGGAAATCAGATGGAGGACCAAAGCGTCCAGGACGCAGGAGTGCGGGGCAGGAAGGGCAGGGGGAGAGAGGTAAGGTAGAGTCATTCCCAAACCAGGCAGGAGTGTGTACTGTGTTGGCGTTTCGGGCAGGGAAGAGTTTGTGGGATGGAGGCTCTGAAGTTGCAAACCTTGTAGGCCAACCTACGAGGGCAGTTCTTCCCTAAGCCAACGGGTGGCGCAATACAACGCAACAAACTGTACATATCCTTATAATGAATCCGGCAACTGAAAAGGAAACGTCACAGGTTACGCAACCAGGGCAGGATGAGCCCGCCCCGCCCGCCCGCTCAGTCTGGGACAGAAGCTGTGAGGCTTTCCCTTGTGGGAGAGAGGGTTTGTGTGGCGGCAGCCAGTGAGGGGCCTGGGGCTGCCTCCTAAGAGGCACAGCACTGTGGACAAGCCTCCGAACCCACAGTAGGGAGGAGATCCACATCCAGCCCAGATGCTGTCCTGCCCATCCTTACTCATGGGACACAACCTTACACATGGGACACAACCAGTCCCCTCACTCCCCTCATACTCCCTCCCCAGCTGCTGGTGGCTGAGCCCTGGGGCCTCCTCTGACCACACCTGGCTCTGCTGCCAGCCTGTCTCCCAAAGGCACTGGAGACTCCCGAGAAACTTGCTGATTCGGCTAAAACCTCCTTGTCCCTTGTCCCAGGTGCAATTACCAAGCCTCGCTTCTGCTCCCTTAGTCCACCAACAAGGCACCAGGTTCTACTGACCTCTACAAAAGATGAAGTTCCCAATGGCATGACCATGGATACTGCTGTAGCCTTGTGAACCCCAGGACCACCACCAGCCTGTCCACTTCAGAGCCTGTTCCTTGCCTTCTCTCTCCTCTGGCAAACCCTCTGAGCCATCAGATTTTTTAAAAAATGGGGGCCTGCACTGATTAAAAAATATCCCCTATGCATAAAGCAAGGGGCAAGCTACTGTGTAACCCAAATTTCACGCCCAGTCCCTTCTCCTTTCTGGAGCACAGTCCACCAGCCCCTGTAGTTCTGCTTAGCCATCTGCTGTGACTTTCCTAGTCTGCCCAGCTTCCCACTCTGGCTCCACTGTTCTCAGCTAGGTGGAGCTGGCTGAGAGCACACACAGGTACTCAGGACCACTGCCTGAATAGCTGAGAACACAGAGGTGAGCAGAGTGCCCATGGAGGTATGTTTGGGATTATCCTTTTGAGGTCCCACAGGATGCTGAGGCCTGGGAAGGTGGCACCAAAAAGCAACTTCATGAGTCTTCCTTGCCTCTTCAGGGTACACAGGTGCATATGTACACAGATGTGCACACCTGTATCTGCACACATGATGCTCTCCAAAACACACAGGATCGCAAGTCAATGCTCAAAAATGTGTATATGTGCATATTCATGCATATCAATTCCCATCATATGTGTGCTTGCACATATGTATGTTCTCATGGGCACATTTATGCAGCCACATCCATGTAGACATGAATGCACACAGAAAAGTCTGGGAAATGTCAGTGTTGTTGCCTGTTCAGAGTTTCTACTAGAAGGACGGGACAGATAAGACAGCAGGGGAGGGCACTTGCCTTGCATGCGGCTGACCCGAATTCCATCCCCCGCACCCTATATGGTCCCCTGAGCACTACCAGGAGTGATCCCTGTAAACCAAGCCAGGAGTAAACCCTGAGCACCACTGGTGTGACCCCAAAACAAAACAAACAACAACAAAAGTCTCCACCAGAATGGGAACAGAATATTGGACAAAAATGTTATCAATTAATTATACTAATGATCATCACACCCTTGCATGTGTCAGGAGGTGAGAACAAGACTCACAGTCCCTGTCCTGACCAACTCGAGGTCCTGATGTGGTCTACTGAGCTGCCTGGCCTGCAGGGGGGCTGGATGGCAGCCTCAGCCCTTGGAAAGGCAGTGAGTGTTAGTTTATCACTCTCTCTGGGTACCTCTAAGAAGAGGCTTGCATTTTACCATCTCCTCCATCACAAGCACTTCGAAAAAACTATCCCTGATTGCCTATGCCTTTCAGGGTTCCCAGTTCTAAAAGGGAAGAAGTATGATTCTTCCAGCCATAACAATAAAGACATGCCCAGCCCAAGTCTACTTCCTGTATCACCTAATTCTGTCCACTTCTGATTAGTTGGAAATTCTGGGTCTCCAGTTTATAAATATTTGGTAGTGTACCCCTCTCCCTACTGCACAGACCTGCCAACTGATCCAAGTATCATTATACATAGTATGTTTTCCTGTGATGTAATCTTGAACAAAAACGTCCCCAGAAGCAGCAGTGCTTGTTTAGAGCAATGAAGGTAAAGACACGCAGACAGGTTTACATCCTGCCCCTATGTCACCTTGCTCTGCCCAACAAGGCCTGGGTGGTCAGTCTGTCTGAGCCCTGGAGCACAGTAGGAAATATGTCGATGCCTAGAAAAATGTTGCATGCACCAGGCAGCATCCCAAAGTCGAGCCTATTCTGATTGTGTGCAAAGACAGAGCCTGTTCTGGCTGTACAGAGTCCACACCTACTTTCACCAGATGCAGAATCTGTATGCGTCCTAACTGTGTCGAGACCACGCCTGCCTGTGTGCAGAGCAAGAGCAAAGTCTGTGCCTGTTCTCACTTCCTGAATACTTCCTCACTATAGTGGAAAATGCACCGGACACACTTGGAGCCTGATGGTGGCTGATGCTGTCAGGATTCCTAGACTTGAGAGGGGCAGGAGCCTCTGGGGAGGCTGAATTAGAAGGGGCAAGGAAATTCAGTGTAGTCCCTGATCTTTGGGACGTTGGGGTTAAAAAAAAATCTCTCAGTGCTCACCAGACTGAACATTTAGGCAAATGAGACAGAGCTCCAGGGGCACTGGACAGCAGACCTTCTCACCATAGGAAAGATGGGAACTGTGGTTCCAGGCCTCTGCCCACAAGAGTGACTAAACTCAGAGCTGTGCGTAGGCAGGAAGACTTAGAGAGGGGAGATGGACATGTCTGCACCTCAAATTCATCCCCAGCAGCATGGGAAGGTAACAGAGAACCTCCCTTCCTGAGGTGTGGCCTAGCATGTGCATATCTGCCACATGCTCAAATCTCATATGAGAGACATGAGCTGGCTGTTGGGCACAGAAAGAACATGTGAGGAGCAGGAGAGAGGAAGAAAGGAAAGCCAGGGAAAAGGGAGGGGAAGAGGGAGGCAGAGGGAAGGAGGAAGGCACAGAGGGGAAGGGAAGCAAAGGGGAGGGAGAAAGAGGGAGAGGATGAAAAAGCATGTGTGAAGGGATGGATGTGAAGGTAGGTCATAAGCTCTGGCTGGCCCTTGGCTGGGCAGACACCAGGGTGTGTAAGACTATCCATTGAACAGTCCCAAAACACCTCTGAGTCCAAGCTCCTCCCTAAGGGGCCAGCTCTGTGGAGACAAATCCCTCTTCACTTATGCAACACAGAGACCCTTTCCTGCCACAATCAAAACACCCCTCCCTGCTCACTCTGATGTCAGTGAGATACAGATAGCTACCATTGAATCCTGGGTTGGGGCTCAAAGCATGGTGGCTTCTGTCCCCAAGAGAGGTAGCAGAGAGGGAGGTATCTGAATCCCTGGGACACAGGATCTGGAGGTTGCAAATTTTTTCTGTCCCCTGCCCCAAAGCATTCAAGCCCCATGAGGCTGAACCCTGAAGCGTGGTCCTGCTGCTGCTCCTGTGACAGCAACTGTGTCCCCCATTCCCTTCCACTGTACCCCACCACCCCCTCCCACTGTGCTCTCCACAGCACTTTATGTGACAGCTTGTGAGAAGACAGCAAACTGCCACAAAGTCCCTGAGAACCTCTCATAAAGCTCAGGCAGCTCCCTGAGGGCTAGACAGAGGGTCTCTCTGTCTTAAGACCCCAAGAATGACAAAGTGGGGAGTGCAGGAGCAGTGTGAATCCCAGGGTCACTGAAACCCTGAGGGGTGCTCGTGGGGGCCCTGTGCAGCCCCTCATCCCTGTCCTGGAACCCGGGGATGACAGAACACAGGGACCCACTCACCACGCAGCCGGGTCGTACTCAGCCCAGACCCGGATGAACTCGTCCAGGTGATGAGGCCCTAGGATGGAAGAGTCCCGCGTGAGGTACTCAAAATTGTCCATGATCACAGCCACAAAGAGGTTCAACATCTGTGGGACAGGAAGGAGAGGAGGTGACCCAGACCGCAGCCAGCCCCACCCCCCCCAGCTAGGTCTGTGGGTAGCACTCGCCTGGGGCACTCACCCACAGAACCTGATGCCAGCCTTGTCCAGGCCTCTGGGGGCTCCTAGCCACCCAATGGGTGAAGAAGCTGCATGTTCCAGACACAGGCCCCACGTGCTGTCCCTAGCAGCAAGTTCTCTGGAGGATTCTGCTCAGCATCCGTCCTCACTCAGGCTGCCCTCCCCACCACCTGCACATCTCATGCCTACGCCCCACCCTGCCATCCCTCATCTCTTCCTCTGTCAGCTTTCAGCAAAGCAGCTAGAAGCCTGGCCCTAGGGCTGGCAGGCGGCTCTGCTCTCATGAAGTCCACACAATACACAAATGACCACCTGAGTATGCTGTCCAGTGGCTTTTAGTGCAATGTCAACCCTCTGCAGCCCTTCTCTAGCCCCGACCATCTCTCATTACCGCAGAAGCACATGGTACCACTGAGTGCATCTCCAGGCCAGGAAAGGCCCGGGTTTGTTTTGGACTTTTCATAGCACTGTAGCACTGTCCTCCTGATGTTCATCGATTTGCTCAAGTGGGCCCAGTAACATCTCCATTGCGAGACTTGTTACTGTGTTTGGCATATCGAATGTGTCACAGGTAGCTTGCCAGGCTTTGCTGTGCGGGCGAGATACTCTCAGTAGCTTGCCAGGATCTCCGAGTGGGGCGGAGGAATCGAACCTGGGTTCGCCAGGTCTGCCGCTTGCAAGGCAAATGCACTACCTGCTGGGCTACTGCTCCAGCCCAGGGCTGGAGTGATAGCACAGTGTAGGGTGTTTGCCTTGTGTGCAGCCAGCCTGGACGAGCCAGGTTCAATTCCTCCGCCCCTCTCAGAGAGCCTGGCAAACTACCAAGAGTATCTCGCACACAGGGCAAAGCTTGCCCACACGGCAAACCCTGGCAAGCGACCCGTGATGTATTCAATATGCCAAATACAGTAACAAGTCTCAAAATGGAGACGTTACTGGACCCGCTCGAGCAAATCAGGAGTTTTCATTTTGCTCGATTTGCTTGAGCGGGCCCAGTAACATCTCCATTGGAGATTTTGTTGTTACTGTGTTTGGCATATCGAATACATCACGGGTGGCTTGCCAGAGGAGTTTTCATATGAACCATAAATAGTCATATATCACATGGTGTCATATGAAGTAATTTTCTTCCACTGAATGTGATGTTTCTCAGCCATCCACGTGGTAGCAAGTCAAACCTGCTGAGTATTACACCATGAGGAAAGATCCGGATGTGCATGATCCTCCATGCCCCATTGACAGGCGGGCACCGAGGCTGTTCCACCTTGGATAGGTATAGATTATGTTATGTGAACATCTGTTTCAAGTCTGGGTTTCTGTGAGCACACCTCATGGATTGGTGGATCAAACTGTGCCTCAAGACTTGGTTTTGGAGGAATCTGTAAGCTTTTTCCATAGAAGCTGCTGCATGTGCTTCTCCTTCACCCCTGCCCCACTAGCAGTGAATACAAAGTACCATTTCTCTATGCCCTCATCAACACTTGTTTTCCTGTTTTTTTAATTACTATTATAGGGGACTGAAGAAATAGAACAGTGGGTAGTGCGTTTTCACTGTATGTGGTCAATCTGGGTTCGATCCCCAGAAACCCATATGGTCCTCCAAACACCTCCAGGAGTAATTCCTGAGTGCACAGCCAGGAGTAATCTCTGAGGATTGCCAGGTGCAACACAACCACTCCCAAAATTACTATTATAACCATCCTAGAGGGTATAAAGTGGACTGTTTTATTTTTGTGCATATGTCTTTATTAATTTGTTCTCTTATCCTTATAGTGATGCTTAGTGCTGATTTGTACATCTTCTTTGGGAAAACATCTATTCCAGTTGTTGCCCATTTTAATAGCTGGTTTTCTTTTGGTTGTGAAGAATCACATTCTTCAAATATCAAAACTGTGATTTATCAGTACTTTCACCCATTCATTCCTTATATTATTTTTACATTTTTAAATGTTCTTTGTTCTTTTAAATTAAGTACTCCAATTTATCCTTTTTTTTGTGATTTGGGTATTGAATCTCAGAATTCTTTCCAAAGTATGAAACCATTAAGATTTGCCCAGTGTTTCCCTCTAAGAGTTCTAGAGTTTTCTTTCTTTCTTTAGATCTCTGGCCAATTCAGGGTTAGTTTTGTTATGAGTGAGAAGGGGCATGATTTTATCTTGTGCATGTGACTTTATTCAGTTGTCTCTTTACCAGTGTTAAAGAAAATATTCTTTTCACATTGCATCATCTTGGTGTCCTTGTCAGGAATCAGCTGGCCACAGATTTGGGATTACTTCTAGACTCTCAATCCTCTTCCATTGTCTGTGTCTACCCTAATGCCAGTACCACTGTTCCACTCACCACTCCAGATCCACTGAGGTGAACAGTTGATTTTGTGGAAATCTGAATTGTGAAGGGGCCCACACTGCCCAATCAGCAAGGCTATTGCCTCACACACTCACCCTTTTTCATAGATAAGTACATTTAACTTGTACTCTCAGCACATTTTAGCACATAACACATTTTTATCAACCCCACTTTGTACATTAGCACCTCAGACCTCATTTACCACAGGACTGAGAGTTGGTGGGAGCCTCATGTCATTTATTTCATGAGAAATCCTGCCCCTGATAGCCACTTTTCGCAGCTACAAGACTGTGGAATCCTATCAAGTACTATTCGAATTGTCTTTTTTCTTTTTTTTCCTTTTTGGGTCACACCTGGCAATGCTGAGGGGTTACGCCTAGATCTGAATTCAGAATTACTCCAGGGGACCATATGGGATGCCGGGAATCAAAGCCCGGTCGGCCGAGTGCAAGGCCCTACCCGCTGTGCTATCATCTCAGCCCCCCATTAGAACTGTCTTGCTCATACTCAGTTCAGGGATTTTATGTGTCTCTTCCTAAGTGGTGTTGTTCACTGGTTTCTTTTCTGTGACATCTTTGTCTGGCTTTACATCAGGAAAGCTGAATGGTTTCATAGAATGCATGAGAAGGATCCCCCCCCCTAGAATGCATCCCCCTTTTCTTTTGTTTGCTTGTTTTTGGGCCACACCTGGCAGTGCTCAGGGATAATTCCTGGTTCTACACTCAGGAATCACTCCTGGCAGTGCCTGGAAGACGATATGTGAAGACAGGGATCAAACCCAGGCTAGCTGCAAGCACCTTACCTGCAGTACTATCTTATCTCTCTGGCCCATTCCCTTCTATTTCTGAAGTAGGATCATTAAAAAAAAAAAAGTTATTTTTCTTGCTGGGGGTTGCGGGGGGTGGCTCCCAAGCAGTGCCCAGGAAGTCCAGTGGACCCATTGGCAATTCTCAGTCAACTGAGACAGAGTTTCAGTGCATGTGTGCAAGGATTCAGGATGCACTGTTACTCAGGTCTGTGGTGCTGGGCTTATCAGGGCCACCCTGGTCGCCTCAGGAACTTTCAGCAAGCACTTGATGCTAGGCATGCATCTAACTTCTGTGTTGTTTCCCAGCCTCACATTATTTTTAGTATCTCTTTCATTCTACTAAAATATACATAAACTCATCAACTGAAGCATGTGTGACTGAGTCAGTGGTCCAAATACTCAGCAGCATCATCCATCAAACAAATTTCTCATCTTTTCAAAGAGAAACTATCCCAACAAGCACCAACTGTTCTTCCATCCCCATCTCTACAGCCACCATCCAACCCTGTCTCCAGGGTTTTTTGACTCCGGTACCTCGTGTAGGTGGAGTATCTTTCCTTTTGTGACACTTAATTTAATTTTCCACAATGCAATGTTTTCGAGGTTCATTCTTTACATGGCAGTATCAGCCCCACCTCCCTTTAAGGCTGAATAACATTTCATTGTATGTTTCTATTCCATCTTGTTTATCCACCATCTGTTTGTGTACCCTCATCTACTTCACCATTGCATTGATGTGAATAATGCTGCTCAGAGCATGGATAAAAATCAAGGACCAGGGATGAGGCTCAGTGGTAGAACACTTGCTTTGAAGGTGAAGTCTGGGTTGATTCCCAGAAACACACACACACACACACACACACACACACAATCTATACCAGCACTTGTTTATTCGTCCCACTTTCAATATTTTGAGTACATACCCAGAACTGGAGAGCAGGCTCCTACTGTCATCTATTTTAATTTTTTTAAGGCACCACCTGCTATTTTCCATTTTCCCTGAAAGGTGGTATCACCCTTCACATCCCCACCAGTGCACAAGTGTTTCAATTTCTCCCTGTCCTCAGCAGTCAACACTGCACTTCTGTTTTGATTTTCCAATAGCCATCCTGATGGGTGTGAAGAGGTATCTCATTGTTGTTTTGATTTGCATTCTGCAATTAGTGATGACATACATTCTTTTTATGTGCTTACTGGGCATTTATGTATTTTTCTTTAGAGAGTTGTCCATTTTATCAGATTTGCAGACATCTTCTCCATTCCTTTTCACTTTGTTGATCACATCCTCTGATGTATACAAGTCCTTAACTTCAAACAACCCAATTAATCATTTTCTTTTATTGTTTCTAATTTCACTATCAAATGTAAAATTTCTTTGCCAAAATCTGAGGTCTTGGAGATTTGCCCCCTAGGTTTTCTTCTAGAAAGTTTAGGGTTCTAGGTCTTATGTTTAGGTCTTTGATGAATTTTCAGTTAATTCTGGATATGTCGGGGAAATAGCCCTGCCCTGTGTGGGGGGTGGGGTCATGAACGTGATCAGCGGCACAGTCCACCCTCTGCAGTCAGAAGCACACAGGCCAGGCTGATGGGTTCAACGTTGTACCCAAGATCTTGAACATGAGAAGTCTTTGAACAAGCTAGAAAGCAATGTTCCTCCCTCCCTCGAGGACCGTTGGTCTCCAAAAGGCCTCCTGACCCCATCCACTGCCCACAGTGGTCCTTAGAGGTGTCGAGGGATGACACCAACATGCTAACCCTGTTCTGGTTCCTGGAAACTCACTTTACAGATTTTCCCGTAGTTCTCTAATAGTGTGGAGCTCACCCCTTTCAAATACACTTTCCCAGCCACCATAACTTTCTACTGCACCCTCCAAAACTCCCAGTACTGGGGGGCTGGAACAATAGCACAGCGGGTAGGGCGTTTGCCTTGCACATGGCCAAGCTGGGTTCAATTCCCAGCATCCCATATGGTCCCCTGAGCACTGCCAGGGGTGATTCCTGAGTGCAGAGCCAGGAGTAACCCCTGGGCATCGCCGGGTGTGACCCAAAAAGAAAAAAAAAAAAACCCACCTCCCAGTACTTCGGGAAGCACATCTTCATCTCACCTGAATATTGGCCACTTTTTTCTTTCTTGGTCTAGCTGAAATATGGATGTCCCTTATTCTCTTTCTTTGTTTTCAAATCCTGCTCTTTCTTATCATGATCTATCAATATTCTCCCTGTTCCCCCAATTTCTAAACACCAGAATCTGGTTTCTGCTTTTATGTCCAATTCCACTCTCGTCATCACTTTCTGTGATTATCCACTGAGATGGAACAACCATACTTGGCTTCACTGTCTGCTCCTGGACCTTCTGATCACAACCACCCCCACTCTTACCTTTGAGTATGTTATCTTCTGGATTTTTTCCTCTAACTTTTGTGCCTTAAATGTCTTTGTCCATAGGTGTGACCTCACCACTTTCCATCCCCAGCTAAGTGAGATCCCATGTCCAGCACTAAAATCATATTCTCTTTTTTGCGGTTGGGGGGTGCCAGGATTTGGGCCACATGTGGTGGTATTTGGGGGCTACTCCCAGCTTGGGGAACCATTCAGCGTTGGGCATTGCACTAGGGTCGGCTGGCCCATGCGAGGCAAATGTCTTATCCCCATACTATCTCTCCAGCCCCTAAAATCACATTTTACACTCACTCTTCTTTCCCTCCTTCTGCTCATCTGGAATATTCACTGTCTATGACATACTTCTCTGCCCATGGAGCCAACCATGTGTTGCTTCACTCTGCTCCTGCTCTGGCCATGAGTGTGCAGTGCCTCAGCTATCCTTGTTGCCTCCCATCATCTCTTGAAACTGCTGCAATAAGGCTTTGGTCCCCCATGCCAAAGACACATGGCCTCTGCCTTTCCAGTGCCAAAGATGGTTCTCCGTCCTTGTGTGACTTGACCTCTGGCAATTCACACTATAACTTTGCCTTCCCATCTGAGAAACTTTCTTCTCTGGACTTCTGGGCAGACCTCTCCTGATTCTCCACCTTCTCGGTCTCTACTCCCTCTAAATTTCTAGGCCCGATACTCTGTTCTGTCTCAATGTGCCCAGGGCTCAGTATTTGGCCTCTTTTTGAAACTACATACAGTCTGCTTAGTTTGTTGTTCCTCAAAGTTTAGCAACCATGGAATCACCTGGGAGTTTGTTAAAACTCAGGTTCCTGGGTCTTTCACCCCAAGAACAACAACTTCGGTGGGGCCTAGGAACTTGCATCACTCAAATGATCCTGAAGTCAGGAGTCTTCATCTAGCAGGGACTGACAGGACATCACTCAGTCCCAGAAATATGCAGACACTAAAATGACAAATTGCATCTTCAGCCCAAGCTGCCCAGTCTTTGCATTTCAGGTAAGGGGCACTGAATACCCAGACACAAATTCTTCTGCTTTCTCTTAACTTCTGTAGCCCTTGACATCAGGTCAGCTTCTCACTGACCCGAGCCCACCCAACTCTTCTCACACTCCCTTTGTCTAGGCCATGGGAACCTCCACTTTTCCCCTTTTCACTCAATAGTTCTCCTGTAGGTCCTAAGGCCAAGAGGACCATGGCAGCCCTTCTCAGTCTCCTAGAGGCTCTGCTGCCTGGGAGAAGATCTACACTCCAGGGATCTGGCCCTCTTATCTCCCAACCCCATCCTAATTGTTTCTATCATCTTGTTCACCTGGGGAAAGCAGACTGGGGTACTGCCTTTGAGGCCCTACCACCATTGTGGAAGTCCATCTAGGAGCTGAGAACAAAGGGACAGACTCCCAGGAAGACTTAAAATCCTGTCTACAGAAGTACCTCCAGGAGTTTATCACCAAGTTAGTCCCTTGAGGCTACTGGCAGTGTTTCCAGGTAAACAGACAAGCTTTTAATGTGACATGCATGAAAAGCCAGAGATGTGGGATCAAGAAGCTGGTGCCATGACCAGGACTTACCAGAAAGGAGCAAAGGAAGATGAAGGAGACGAAGTAAAAGTAGGCGAAGTCACTTCCACACTCACTGGCACTGGCGTGCTCGTCACAGGCCTGGTTGCTGAGACAGGACAGCATGATCTCGTGCCAGGCCTCCCCAGTGGCACTCCTGAGAAGGGCAGAGCCATGAGGCCCTGGGGCCTGGGAAGGAATGATTTCAGTCCCACCCAGGGACCAGCGGTGCAGGAACTCTACGAGAGCTGGGTCAGGCATCCCTCCTCTGGGCCCTTTCCTCAGAGAACCCACAGAGGCGTCAGGCTCAGGTAACAGAGCTGCTTCTTTGCAGGAACCCTCTGGCCAGTGGCTTTAAAGTTGCACAGTAACTGAGAGATTGAAAGTCCTAAGTAGAGCCGCTGGGTCAGGAGCCAGCAACATGGTGCACACCCTTTGAGGTTATCAGGCACCTTGAAGTCAGCACTCCAGCTAGGTCAGGTCTCCTTTCTCAATTCAATAAATGCAGCTTTAGAGATCATGGTGCCAGTATCTGCATGCCCATCTCACCATGTCTAGTTCATCAGCTCACCAGCCTTCAGAAAACAGCCAGAGTTCTTCCTGCTCAAATGGAGTTAAGTAGCAAGTGCTCCTGTGAGCTGTAGCCAGTTTTCTACTGGTGTCTGGCTGTTCCCCTGTGTTTAGCAGTGCTACTAAACACAGGCACATCAGTAGGTATACTAAGCATGGGCACACCAGTAGATGTAATAAACACAGGCACACCAGTAGGTGTAATAAACACAGGCATACCAGTAGGTATACTAACACAGGCACACCAGTAGGTATACTAACCACAGGCTCACCAGTAGGTATACTAAACACAGGTGCACCAGCGGGTATCGTAAACACATGTGAACTAGTGTGTGTAGTAAACACAGGTACACCAGCGGATGTACTAACGAAGAGGTACAGCATATGTACTAAACACAGGTGCACCAGTGGCTATACTAAATACAATGGCATCAGTGGATGTACTAATCAGAGATACACCAACCAGTGTATTAAACACAGGTGCAACAGTGTATGCACTAAACACTAAGGAGGCAACTCCTGCTCAACATCCTTCACACACTGCAAAGTACAAGAGTCACCAATTTCCCATAGCCTGCATTCAGTCACCACCTCCCCAACCCCTGCCTTAGCCCCTGATCATGGGCCCCAGCCACATCCACCTAAGCTGTTTCTCACACAAGCTGAGACCCTCTCTTGCACCCAACAACCAGCTGCAGGGCCCTCTTTTTTCCCTGTTAGGCTTGCAGACACACCAAAACTGATGTGTACCAGACTTGCACGGGGCCAAAGGCCTGGGTTCACCTCTGCAACTGTGCAGCTGCTCCTAGACAGAAGCTGGGCCACTCTCCAATGACCACTGCCAAGGTCAGGAGTGGGGCTTCCTGCAGGGCAGCAAGTCCAGTCTGCACCAGACCACAACTGAGAAACAAAGAGGGCCTCTGAGAGCAAAGGACGACTCCAGGGATGGCCTCAAGTATTGGTGGCACAAGGAGGTCTTGGCAGCTGGAGAGCTTGAGGAAGAACAGCAGAAGACCCTATGGCCTGGGGAGCGCCAGAGAGTCTAGCCATGTGTGACCAGACTGATGCAGGACCAAGAGTGGAAATTTCTCTCCAGGCAGCTCAGCAAAGCAAATCTGCTCTAAATTCGTCATATTCACACCTTCCAACAAAGAGACTGCTTGAGCCCCAAGACAGCTGCTCAGGATGGTCTTGCTGGTACCTCTACCTGCAGCCGGGGTTCTGCACCCATCAGCATGCAGAGAGACACATCACACATGGGAAGAAGGCCTGGGCAGGAAACTCCCATCAGAACTCCCTTGTCCCTCCCTCCTGCTAGAAAAGGGTGCATGATGGGCACTCTAGAGGCAGGAGACATTTGACCCTCCCCAATTTCATCTCAAAGCAGGATGCCCCATCCAGAAAGAGGGCCTGCCTCTTCCCAGCACCTCTGCAGAGGGTCTTCCAAGCCCCTCTAGGTCCCACCTGGGGCCTGTTTCACTGGCCCCAGAACTCATAAGGCTGAGGTTCTTGTGCAGGACAGTGGCTGGAGGTGGCCATTCAGTCCTGTCCACTGGGCTTCTTACATGAGAGCAGCAGCAATCTGTCATTGGCTCCTGCAGACCTGTTTCCCAGATCCCAGGCCCCAGAGACCATGAGTGCCATGGAGGAAAGCCCCAGAGCAGCGTACAGGGAAAGGCCCTGCTACAAACCCCACAGCCTCACTGGGCACAGGTCTGGGGGCAAATCCTTGTGGGGAGCACAGAGCAGAGAGACAGGACAGGCCAGTGAGGGAGAGGGGACACTGGACAGACCCACTAAGGGAAGGTCAGCCTGACTGTGGTGGGGGCAGCCACACTCCCCATAACAAGCTTGAGTCTAGCCAGAGCGCACCTGAAAAGCAGCATCAAGGCTTGCAAAAATGTCCGGAAGTTGTTGTGCCGATTAATGCTGGTTTCATCATCCAGAGCAATATTTCCGAAGACCTAGAATAAAGAATAACAGGCTGGTGTTCAGGGGCCAGGGCCAGGGATCAGTGGGCCCTCAGGTTCTCCCTGGGAGTAGCCATCATTGCTGCAGCCTCTGTGCACCAGCGGGAAAGATACACACGTGTCCTGAGTGCCAGAGAGCAGCCCTGACCCTGCAGGGGCCACAAGACTGTCACAGAGGCCAAGCTCACTTTCTGGCTCTGCTATGTAAGTTGGGGTTCAGCGACTTACACCTTTACCTGTGTGAGCCCCCACAGAAATGCTCTCATGAATCCCACAGATCTTCCCTGTAAGACTTCTGTGGAAAACATGAGTTTGGCTTTCTTTCATGGAGGTTGTTGCTGGCATGTCCAGGTGTGCATAGGGAAAACTCCTGGCTCTGTGTTCAGGGTCACTCCGGGACAATAGGTGGATCTGGGAGCAAAGTAGGATTCGCTGCACATAAGTCAAGTGCCTTAACCCCTTTCCTCTCTCCCAAGCTTTCTAATTGATTTCTTTCAGGGCAACAATGTCAATGAGTCAGTAATAATAGTTAGTTCTTTTTTTAGAAAAAAGAAATAATTATTGTATCAGTGATACTATTTGCTGGGAGATGTTCTGACCTTTTATTATTTATTTTTGATGGGGAGCCAGGGATTAGCCCAAGACCTTATACACAGGAGATTTCTACTGATTATAGTTTATTTAAAACCTAAAATCCAGGGCCAGAGCCATAACAGGGAATTTGCCTTGCATGCGGCCGACCTAGATTCAATCCCCAGCACCCCATTTGGTTCCCCAAGTTCTGCCAGGAATGATCCCTGAGTGCAGAACGAGGAGTAAGCCCAGAGCACTGTGGGTGTCTCCCCACCCCCCAAAAACACCCCGAAATCCAGATCGTATATTGACACACACAAAAAAGAGCAGCAAAATCTGTCTTTGTACCTTCAAAGACCAAAGCAGGAAAAGATATAAATAAATGGGTTTTAAATAGCACCAATCTCATCACATTCCAAAGCAGACTGAACTAGTTTTAAAGCAGTTCTCATTCCCATTTGCAACTGTGTCTCAGAAAATCAAGTACCTAGGAATCAGTTTAACAAAAGAAGTGAAAGACTTATATAAAGAAAACTACAAAACACTACCAAAAGAGAACATGAGGAAATGGAAACACTTTCCCTGTTCATGGGTCAAGAAGATTAACAAACACTGTCAAAATGGCAAAATAGCAATACACTCCCAAAGCATTATACAGATTCAAACACCCATGATATTTACAAAAAGAAATCGATTAGACACTCCTGAAATTCATATGGAATAAAAAACCTTCCCCAAATAGCCAAAGCAGTCCTGGGAAAAAGAAGACAGGAGGCACCAACTCTTCCCAACTTCAAACTATACTAAAGAGCTGTAGCCATGAAAATAGTGTGGGAACAGAGTAGGTGCAGGCGGCGGGGCAATGCTGTTGGGAGACCACTCAGCTCTATATCTGCAGTGTTTTCTGGCCAAGCGGGTGCTCTTCAGCCCCGTGGACACAATGGACCTGAATGGCTGAATGCAGGAAGGACAATGCATGGCTGGGCCTGCTGAGGGCTCCCGTTGGCATGATTGGGTCCTATGCTGAAGTTCAAGGGGGGTTCAGAATCGCTGCTGACCAGCAGACTACCAGCACTGGACACCACACAGGTGCACAGGCCAGCACCTATTAACTGTGTCCCAACAAGGTGAAGGGGTTCCATGCCAGGACCCCACGCCGCAGGCAGGAAGGGGCAGGCTCCAGTCGGTGGGCCCTGAGCCAAGGCCCATCCTGTGTCCTAGGCCATGCAGATGGCTTGAGGGTCCAGATCACAGAAGGTCTTAAGTGGGGCTGAGCTGCTAGAAGTGTACATTGTCAAATGCCCCCTCCCACGAGATGACCCCCGTGCCCCTCCCCATGTGCCCCCACCCTCGTGCCCAGCCCAGTTTCCACGCACCTGCATGCCTATGATAGCGTAGATGAAGAAGAGCATGGCGATGAGCAGGCACACGTAGGGCAGGGCCTGTGGGGACACCAAGTGGGCTCAGGGCGAGGCGTGCCCTCTGGACAGTGGCTGGGGACCCAGTTCCTTAAACCCCACCCTGAAAACAGGCCCTCCTCCCAGGTCCACCTCCGTTTACCACCAGGCGTCAGTTAGAAAGCTCACCCAGGCATGGTCACAGGGAGAGCTGCTGGGGTGGGAGCCATGGCACGCCTGACAGGCAAGTGGCAGTCTGGGGCCTCACCTTGAAGGACTGGACAAAGGTCCACAGCAGGATGCGAATGGTGTAGCCCTGCCGGAGCAGCTTGATAAGCCGCGCGGCCCGGAAGAGGCGGAGGAAGCTGAGGTTGATGAAGTTGTTCTGCAGGGAAGAAAAGCGGATCTCTGGCCTTCAGGAAACAAGTTACAGGAGAGCTGCTCCCCACCCACCCTTCCCCAGGTCTCCGTGTCCCACAGAAAAGTGTGGAAAAAGAAAAGCAGAGAATCGTCACTTCACAGTCGGAGCAGCCATTGGCCACCAGAAATCCTATGGAAAGTAAAGCTTGTTCACAAACCACTTCTCATGCAGCAAATCTGAGAGACACCTGCACTCCCAGCTCCCCTACCCTCACAGGAAAGACCAACAACAAGTTCTCTGAAGCAGATCCCTGCGGCCAGGTGGAGCCTGAGGGTCACCTCTGCGCTGGGCCTCCTGCACTGCCCTCCTCTCACAGCGCAATGCCAAGTAGGGCTCCAACTGCACCAAGTGTCCTGCTGAGACCAGCAGGCCTGGGGCAGGAGTCGCTTCTACCTGGCAGAGGAGCAAATGTCCTCTGGCACCATTCCAGGTGCCCGCACACAAGTCAGGAGGAGGTGGGAGTGTTGGTGGCTTTGTGCTCACCCGGAGGCCACCTCTATAGCCTACCAACAGCTCTCTGCTCCAGAGAACCCAAGACACCACTGGGGCTGGGGTCAAACCAAGCACAAAAATCAGCCAGCTCTGGATTCCATGGTCACATGGAGTGAGACGGGCACAGCCCCTTCAGGGGTCATGGCGCTGGGTGGCGTCCAGGGCGAGATGGTGTGCTTGGAGGTCAGGGGCTTCTCACTCTGTCCAATTAAAGAGAGGGTGTCACCACATGGCCTGAGAATAACTTCCTGCCTCTTGAGTGTCTCAAAAGTACAAGCGATTCAGGAGTGGCCACACTGTATGCCAGGGAGTGGTCAGAGAGAGAAGAGAACGTAGACTAGATGTTGACGGAGACAGCAGAGCAGGGCTGCATGCAGGAGCCCATGGGAATGATCTCTCACCCTCCAGGGCTTTCCCAGTCTTGGCCAGCCTGAGGCACTCTGTGTAGAAGTGGGTCTCACTCTACACCCAGGGCTGGGGCCTCAAACACACCTTGTCTACTTGCCAGGAACGGCTCCTTTCTCAGGACAGGCTTTTGGCTACCACAGGCATCAGGGGATGTAGAAGCTACTCAGCTGGGAGGACCTCACAGCTACTGAACAGTGGGTGACAGTGAGGCCGGACCCTGGAGCAGTCTGGTCTAGGCAAAGATGTGGATGGCTAAGATAGATGGTTATAAAGGCTGGTCGGGGTACAGACCAGTGGGATAGCAGTGGCAGCCTCGGGGGTGGCTCTGGGCTTACCTCGGCCACTCGCCTGACTGTGCTTGGTAGACAAATCTGGGCAGGAGGCAGCTCAGCCAAGAAATATCAACTCACAAGGTGAGCAAGTTACCAAGAGCGGGCGTAGGAACAAAAGGGGACATTAACAGCACCAGGACATCCTCTGTAGAGGCAGCTGATCCAAACAGGAGCATCTCCTGGCAGTATGGGGAGACGCTGTGGATAAGGAAGGTAGGAACGTCCATGCACCCAAGTCCTGGACATGTGCCTCAAGAGCCCAGGAAGTCACTCCCTCCTTGCTGTGGGATTCATGCTCCTACCTGCTGGGCTTCCTTTCAGGGGTCCCCTGGCACTGAGGGAGTGACAAGTGGCGGCAGACAGCCCGAGAATGCCAGGACGATGACAAGGGAAGTAGTTACAGGCCGCAAGCACAAAGCAGGGCTGCCCAGATGGGCCCCACGGCGGCCGCATGCAGAGTGCTGGGCAACAAGCATGGTCACACTGTACTCTGGTCTCACCCACGCCCCCTGCAGAAGGACAAAGCCCCCTTCTCGGTCTGCACCCCACCCCCCCTGGACCCCTGCCAACTCCATGGTTTCTGCTGCACATCATAGTCAGGCCCTCTGAGGTCAGCACCCCCCGAGTTGGGAGGTGCAGAGCACACTCGACATGGCACTGCCCAGAGCACTCTGGCCTAAGCTCCTGGTTCCCAGCCTCCTCGTCCACCAGACAAGATGAGGACAGGTGGTGGGCAGGTCCCTGGGGAGAGGACGTGCCCACCTGGGAGGGCTGACCCAGATGACACATGTCCCCGGGACCTCCCTGCCTCCAGGCACCCCTCATCCTCACGGACCAGAGTGAAAGAAGAAAGGGTGTCACTGGTAGTCAGGAGGAGTGCTGGAAGGAGCGAGCAGGAAGGGCTCTCTGACGGGGTCCAGCCCCACTCTACAGGGGCATCACACTGGGCTCAGCAGCAGCAAATGGTCTTTTCCCAAAAACCAAAGAGATGCTGCTGTGGTGGAGGCCAGAACCACAGTTGCTTCTAGAAACAGGAATCTGGGCCCCCCGCTGGCCTCAGGGCCACAACTCCAAACAGCTTCTCCTCTCCAGGTGGTCCTGACACAGGCCCAGTGTGACACCTCACGGAGCGACCTGAACCCTGCTGCTCCTGGAGGCACACCCCTGGCTCCCCTCGACCAGGAGGAAAAATTCTCCAAATGCCCCTTAAGGAAGAGCCTTTCAGGAAGGGCACTTTCAGCAGATGCCACCAGCAAAGCCACAGGACCAAATGAAGCAGGAAGTGATGGTGGCGGCAGAAACCACGGAGCTGTCAGGGCCAGGTCCAGACTGAGTCCCAGCAGGAGAGTCTGTGTACACTCTGGCCCTCTCAGAAGCTACGTCCTCATCCCAGGCCAGAATCTCCCTATTCCCAGTCAGAATGTTCCTGTAGGGTCTCAAAGGACTGACTGGGTCCCGGGGGAGTGTGTGGGTGAGGCCAGAGGGGAGGGTGCAGCCTGACACTGGCTGCAATGCCACAGAACCATGAGCACAGGAAGCAGGAACAGGGGGAGTAGAGCAAGCAGAGCAAGGGGCTTAAGAGACATTTAAAGTCATGAAACCAACCGTTTCCTACATGTGATGTTTTCATGGATGGATATTTGCATGTTATTACAGATTGGGGTGTTTGAGCAGCAGGTGTGAACATACAGACGACACATGGTTTTCGCATTGTATGTTGGTAGGATGGCGTGAGTCAGCAGGGAGGTTTAGGTAAATCAAGAACAAAAACAGAAAACAAAAGAGAAGATGAGTCATCAATACAAGCAAAAGATTCAACTCTGAATACTTCACTGCAAAATCTTAGGACTTTGGTAAGCTTTGTGTATTTTACTTAAATGTATCAAATCAAAACATATTTTTGAAGTTTGCAGTTATGCAGATAGGGCAGCACTCATTTGCATTCCTGTTTATAATGCAAATCCACCCGCGACTCACAAGCACTTTTTTTTATTTCCAGGCAAAGAAATCAATGTCAGTTTTGTGCTTCCTCAGGGCCCCTCACTGGCGCCTTTACTAAGATGAGTGTTCTATTTTGATTTGTAAATTGAGGGGTGGGAACTGACACTCATATTTTTGCCTAAAAAAAAAAAAGTGCATTCACAAAGTAACATATGAAGTGACTACGAATGAAAGAATAAGACGGCACGCATTCACAACCAGTTTCCACCAGGCAGAGCTGAGTGAAGGGGGCCCAGAGCGTGGATGTCTGAGCCCCAAGCCCCACCGCTGGGGGCATCCAGGGCTCAGTGGCTACATGCACAGCTTGCTGGAGGTGAGTTCCAGGAACTGGGTGTGAGCCGCTGTGGCCCCAAGGTCCAGCTGGCTCACCTCTTCTCTCCCACCTTGGCCCCAAGTCTCAGGACCAGAAACCACCTGTCTGTCCTTGCTGCCTAGTCTGGAGTCACCGGCATTGGGTCTGATCCACTCGCTGGACACCTCATTTGGGAAGTCCAATCACTGTATCACTGTATCACTGTCATCCCGCTTTTCATTGATTTGCTCAAGCCGGCACCAGTAACATCTTTATTTGTCCCTGTTGCGTGCCAGTGTAGCCCAATGGCGTACAAAGGGCTCTTTCAGAGTCAGGGGAATGAGGACCTTCATTGTTAATGTTTTTAGCATATCGAGTACAGCCGGGTAGTTTAGGAAGTCCAATAGGTGCATGAAAGCTGGCGTGCAGACTGCACCCTGCCGTCTCTACAAACCCAGTCCACCTACGTTCTGTTAACATAAACACAGTGGTGCTCTCCTCTTCTCACTGCCCATACCAACATCCTGCCCATCTAGGGCCCCATCTGACACCCTAATTCATACAACATGTCACTCCTCCCCACCCCCATCCAAGCATCATGTCCGCTACTAGCACCACCTTCCCATGAGGCTTTCCTGCGGGAACATACATGCCAAAGAACGGTCCTCTCTGCCCTCAGTCCTACGGCCTTTGGCCGATGGCAGTGTGGTTGGTGAAAGTCACACCAGCCTGTCTCTGGGAGGGGTAGCAGAAGCTGGCTCTCTTGGTGTGCAATGTCTCACAGTCTGAGACCCCACCTGGAGACCTGCATCCAACTCTCCTCTCAGGGTCTGGCTTGGGCCAGCCCCACAGCCAGTGACTTCAGCTGTGCAGGGATCAGACAGGGGATGTTAGGGCAGGGACTGGTGCTGTCAACAATTTGCCAAACCCCCATCTCACTGGAAAGAAGGAAAGAACAAGGTCGGCCAGGCCCTCTCCTGTCCTCCAGGGCCATGTGTCCCTGCACACCCCCAGTCCCCCCCTTCACTCTCACAGGCCCAGAAGTCATTCCTTCTCGGAGGTTACGTGTCAGAAAAACATAAGCTGCACTGCTCCCCGCAAAGTCTTCCCTACTGAATCCATTCCAGCACACACTTAGGACACGCTCAGCACACAGAGGCAGGTTTACAAATGCTTCTGCTGTGTCCGGGTCATGCTGGCAATGCTCAGGAGCCCCAGGAGTCAGGAAGATAGTTCGTCTACGGTTTTTGTTTATATTTTTTGTTCTTGTTTTTAGGACCACACCATTACTGCTCAGGACTTACTCCTGGCTCTAGGCTCAAGGATCACTCACTCCTGACAGTGCTCAGGGGGCCCCATGGGGTGCTGGGTTCAACCATGGTCAACCCAGGTCAACCCAGGTCAACCATGTAGAAGACATGCACCCTGTCTGCTGGACTGTATCTCCAACCCCCTGTCATGTTTTTAGAAGGGATGGGCCCAAATAGCCTCTCCCTGGGTACTCACTGCCCTTTTTTCTTTTGATGGACAGAAACTTCAAGAGATTGCATTTCAGCTATGGCTGGTATTTTGTAGTTTGAGAAATCAATCCCCTGCCATGGTCTTAAAGCAGTCTCCTGTATTTTCTCTTAAGAGTTTAGAACTTACACTATTTTCATTAGTCTTTCATCCACTCGACACACTTGGTGGTGAACTTCCCACGCCTTGCTCTTAATGCACCACAGGCTGAACTCTCTTCCCAATAAGCTGTTCTCTTTGGTTGGCTGCCATGGCCTCCCTGGACCCACCCAAAGTCTCAACTGCGTCACCTTCAGAGCAAATCTGACTGCCAGCAGAAGCCACTAGTTCTCATGAACACTGACAATCTGAAGGCCTCTATGTTTTCATGCATATTTCAGAAGCAGCTCGCCAAGCTCCAATACAGTAGACAAACTAAATCCAAAAACAAAATCATTGTTTGTTCACTGCAATCCCATTGAATCCACAGATGAATCTGGGGGAAGTTATCACTCAACAAAAGTGGCCCCTATTCAAGGGCATGCTATATGCCTATCAATCAAGTCTTCCTTGTTATCTTCCAAAACTGTCTAGTAACTTTCTGCATAAAGATCTTGCTTACATACTCTGTTGGGCTTACAGTCGGGACTGCCAATGATGCAGTGAAATGCAATCGGCTTATTTAAGCAATCTTCAATTCAGCAAACCTGCCAATATTCTACTTTGTTTAGACTTTTCTAGATCTTTATCCTGGGTAATAATGCTCCCTGGAAATAGTGATAGCTTTTCCAGTTCTTTACATGTTTTATTTTCCTTATCTTTTCATTCAACAAGTAAAAGGTAAAGGCCCTCCCGTTGATCATCGATTTGCTCGAGCGGGCCCAGTAACGTCTCCATTGGAGACTTTGTTGTTACTGTGTCTGGTATATCGAATACTCTCGGTAGCTTGCCGGGCTCTCCGAGAGGGGCAGAGGAATCGAACTCGGGTCGGCCATGTTGGCCGCTTGTAAGGCAAACGCCCTACCCGCTGTGCTATCGCTCCTGGCTGTTGTTCATTCAACAAGTACTATGGAATACTTACCTACCAAGTACCAGCATAGGAAGGGGGCAGAGAGGCGACAGTCTACAAGCTCGGCCTTGGGAAGGCCAGTGCCAATGTCCTGACCTCCAGAGCAGACCACTGCCTCAGCAGGTACCCCCTGAGGAGCTGCACCTAGCCACTAGTATCTAACAACAAGACATAGTGTCAGATCTAGGAACTCCTGGCTGGGGCAGCCAAGCCCAGCACCTGCGCACAAGGTACCTCAGAAATACTGCATCCAGGGCCCCATCTGAGCATACTGAGGGCAGTCTGAACACGTGGCCCTGGGTGCACTCCATTACTGCTATCATGCCTCATTGTGACAACTATAAACACCAGGGGGAGGTAAGCAATTTGCTTCTTGGAGGGGCTGGTACCCTAAGCTGGTACGGGACACCTGAAACAGCACCCAGTGGTGTGAGGGGAAGGAAAAGGCCCACACAGAGGCCTGCAAATTCCTAGGCAGGTACCTATGCTTGGTCAGGCCTCTGGAGGGAACAGCATCTGGGCAGGAGACCTCTGGCGGGGACGCAGGGGTCCCCCACAACCTCAATTTAGGCATCTACACTGTGTGCTGGTGTTCACCAGAGGGGCACAGCATCAGTGTCAGATCACAGATGGTGGCCAGTGTCCACGCTGACCAGCAAGTCCAGATGAGCAGCTGAGGCAAGTGTGTGGAGACTGCCAGTGGGAGCCGTAGGGTCCATCTCAGCACAGCGGGTGATCTTGTGCTTACTCCCAAACACTGTCCTTCCCTAGGCAGAGGCCAGCACATGCCTCTGAACACAGCAGTACTGGGAGTGGCCTCCAGCCACAGGGGAAACCTGCTCCCCTAGCAGTCCCGGCACCCGCTGCCCAGGGGCCGTTGCCACTGCAGGTGCAGCCCCCAGCCTCCCAATTCTCAGCACTTAGGCAATGGACTCCAACACAGCAGCTCGGAGAAGCAGAGGAGCTGCTGAGGGTCCCCACAATCTGAACTTTGGGGAACCCAAGTCCCTGGTTCTAAGAGGCAGGAAAACTATCCACTGAGGAAAACACCAAAAGTCCTAGCGGCCGCACCTGTGAGGGCCCAGAGGGCAGGACACATCTGTCTGGAACCAGGCATTTCTGGATGCTCTTGTTACCAGCTCTAACCTTGAGCGGTTGAGAGGGGACTGCCAGCAGGCACCTGGGCCACCGGAGGGAGATGCTCCTCACCAGGCCAGCAGCCAAAACCACAGCAGGCTGGCCACAGGGTGACACAGAGGAGGCACGAGGAGAGCAGAGCGGTGCTAAGACCAAGCCAGCTCGGGTAGGGAGGCCCTGTGCATCCGGGATGCTGTGGCCAGCCTCTCTGTGTGCACGGGGATGGAGGGGGCAGAGCCAAGGGCCTGGGTGGCGAGGCTAAGGGTCTTGCCTGCTCTTCAGGAGGCCCACCATATAGCACCGACCCTAACCCTACACATCCCAGGGTCCAGAGCCTGTGTGGGTGCACTCAGGCACAGAGACCCAGACCCAGTCTGGCGGTGGCCTTGAGAGTGAGGGCATACGCTGCAGCTTAGGGTGTGACCCTCCCTTTCCAGAGCCCCTGGGTGATGTACTCCTCCCTCCTCTCCCCACCTCTTCCACGAACCCTGCTTACCTGCCGCTTTTCCTCAGAGAAATGTGTCAAGGCCACCCCCACCCCACATCTGCTTCCAGAGGACTCAGCCCGAGGCATGCAGCTGAAGCATCACTCCACGTCAACAAGTCCAATTCAAAGTGCTGTCCTTAGAGGCATTGTGTGATGCAGGCTCTGAGAAGGCCTAGCCAAGGCCACATTCTACCCCTGGTCAGCCCTCTGGCAGCCTGGCAGCTAAGAGCAGCATCTCGCTCTCCTGGCACATGCAGACACCATTAAGCAAAGCTCTTCAGAACGCTGGTGCTCACTGAGTTGAGTATAGACAGTTTGGCAGTAACTGTTCGATGTGTGTGGGCATCTGCCAGCCCTACAGCTCATGTCCAGCTCAGGCTCCTGGTGATGCCCAGGCCACCATCAGGGACCACTTCCCTACCCAAGAACAAAAATTTGCAGGCTCAGAACCCCATCAGCAGCCCCACCTCTAGAGGTGTCTCCTCTTGACCGAAGATGACAAGCTAGGCCAGATGGGCTGGAACACAGAGGGAGACTTTGAGAGGGAAACGGGGCTGGAGGAGGGTCTAGAAAGTGCTACTTACCGCAATCTCTGTTACTAAAATATCAGTAATACTTCCCAACACTGTGACAAAGTCAAAGACATTCCACGCATCTCGGAAGTAGTTCTAGAGAGAAAGACACACAGTCAGGCCTAGGGGCTGTGGTGGCTCCGTGAGCAGGAAGGGGAAGGCTACTCAGGAGACCCCAGGGACGGATATGTTGGGTCCCGGATGAGCTGCATTGGACCATGCCCTGACAGCCGTGTGGGTGCTACCCCTTCACTGGCTGTTGCAAGGGTGGGTGTGCTCTCAGGGTTCCCCACCCCAAACTCTGAGCCCCCAAAGGTCTTCCTACCAAGAAGCAGCGTGAGGGAGGGAGAGTGGGGCACATACCAGCACCCCAAAGGCGATGAGCTTCAGCACGCATTCCATGGAGAACATGGAGGTGAACACGATGTTGAGACACTTCAGCATGAGCTCATACTCGTGCGGTGCGTCATAGAACTGCCAGGGAGAGCGCTGATGGCCACAGGCTGAACGCCAGAGAAGCCCAGCCTTCCCACTTGGGGTGCCCTCCCCACACTTCCCCGGTGCTCTCCAGAGCCTTTTCACCGTCCCAGCCCAGGGACAGGTAGAAGGAAGGCAGGACTCCACACACAGGCCAGGCTGAGGGACAGCACTGCAGGGTCCTGCTGCGCTGGCTACTCAATGCACACCAGCAGGACAAAGGCCAACTCCCTGCCTGGCGTGATCAGCGCAGACACCCCCACCCTCTGGACCCTATGCTGGCCCCAGGCACCTTCATCATCAGCACCACTGTGTTGAGGGCGATCATGGCCATGATGAAGTACTCGAAGGGTGGCGAGACTACAAAGGTCCATGTCTTGTACTGGAAGGACTGCTTGTTCTGGGGCATGTACCGCGTCAGGGGCTTGGCGCTGATGGCAAAGTCGATGCAAGCCCTCTGCACGGGGAGGGGAGCATGAGAAGCTAGAGGCAGGCCCCTTGCAGCACCCCACCCTGGAGCCTGCCCCACTCACCCTCATCCCAGCAGCCGCTGGAGCTCCCCAACCGTGAGGGTCCCCATGCAGGACAGAGCAAAGAGGGGCCAGAAGGGACACTTACCTCGTTCTTCTCCAGGCTGCACTCAGACATCACCTTGTCCCCCTGCTCCTGGAAGGTGATGATGATCAGAGCCACAAAGATGTTGACGAAGAAGAAGGGGAAGACCACGAAGTAGACGACATAGAAGATGGAGAGCTCCATGCGAAATCCCGGGCTCGGGCCCTGCTCCTCGTAGGTGGCATCTACTGAGTGCTTTAGCACCCTGGGTGGAGCAAAGGCCAAGTGTCTGGGGAGCCAGCAGAGACAGACTCTGGACAGGCCTCAGAGCTAAGGACTGTCCTTTCCAGGGGAGTCCACTTGCAGCCCTCACCTGGAGTTGACAGCTGGAGGCAGGGGCTCCAGTCCCCAAGAGGAGAGGCAGAGGCAGCCTGCCAGCCCAGCATTACCCATACCCTGCCCATGCGTCTGCGGCTCCCTGCGGGCTCCCTCTCATCAGTGAGCCCTGCATCGACAGGCTCAGAGCACTGACCTCCTCCTCCCAGAAGGAGCCCCTCCCGGCCAGGGTGGTGCTGAGCAAACAGACCTGGTGGCTGCCCTAACTGAAGCCAGGGGACTGCGAAAGCAAGATGCTTGGGCCCACCACTCAAAGGGGATCCTCCTGGGCTTGATATCCTCTTCCCAAGCCCAAATACACCTGCTGAGCACCGGCCAGGGCAGCAATGAGCAGAGGAAACACTCACATGGGCCAGCCTTCTCCCGTCGACACAGTGAAGAGTGTCAGCAGAGCCCAGAGGACATTGTCATAGTGGAAGTCATATTTCTTCCACTGACGGGGCTGAGCTTCTACCTCCTCCTTCTCGTAGTCCAGGTACTGACCCCTGGAAACAGCAGCAAAGAGGTTCCATGTTACAGACACTGACCTGTGTGGCAATGAGCTTGGAAAAGACATTTCTGACCTTGCAGAGAGTGCTGTCTCCACCTATGTGCTGGGACAGTGTGTATTCACAAAGGTGAAGAGAAGGTGGGCCCCTGCTCCATCAAGAAAAGTGGCAAAATGGGTTGAAGACCTGATCTAACAGCAAGAGCAGGAGAGCACTGAGGCATCTGAGAAAGAGGAGCCTGAGGTTTGGGGAGAGCAAACCAGAGCAGCAAGCCCCAAAGAGATCATTGGAATTCATCCCTGTGGTCTGGACCTCAGCCTCTGGCCACACCAGTCACCCTGGACTGTAGGAAAACAATGGGTTTGTCCTTTCAGCCTTGCCGCAGGGAACTTAGTTTACCTTAAAGCAATGTCCTTTCTGTATGGACACAGGAAGACAGTTAATATTATGCTTTGTAACTTGGGAGTTGATTGACTCCAATAATACTTACTCCTGGGAATCTGCTCTCAACTCAGTTGCCCTTAGTTCCTAGCACCCCAAAAGCAGGGTCCCAACAAGGGACTGAAGCTGTAAACTACCCTGGCATCGAAATGGGCCAGACCAAAGTGCCACACTACCAACTGTAAGTTGAGAACATGATCATAGACAAATGCTGTCACGATCCAAAAGTAACGACAAGACTAGGACCCTGCTGGGATTAGGAAGACTAACCTGGCCTGAGGACTGTGCTAAGACATCCTCAGAAAGAACCAAGCTTTAAGTTGATATGTCTCTTACTGTGCTCATACAGAATGACATTGCTAGAAATATTAGAAGTAGATTTACTCCGACTGTTTAAGTGGATTACTAGCTGAGAAAAGAAGAAAATGACACACCCTGAATGGGATCCCACGGATCTCCTAGTAATCCAGAATAATCTCTTTAGATGAGATTTTATCCTTGAGTTAATCTCCTGGAGTGGTTTTAGTTCTCTTTGTTGATTTGTTAATGTTCAACCCACCTTTGTGTCACCATCCTATGTGATTGCTATATAAACTAAGACTGTAAGAGCAGAGGGAAGCGAATTCAGAATCCAGGGGTCAGAGTCAGAATCCAGGGGCAGAGTCAGAATCCACATGGAGAGAGTCCGAATCCAGAGTGAAGGGCTCCAGAGAGAGAAGCAGAAGAGCATCAGAGAGAGAGAGAGATTGGAAGAGACCAGAGGAGAGACTACAGAGACAGAGTCAGAAATAAAGAGATAGAAGAGAGCACAGCAGCACGCACAGAAGCAAAGCATAAAGGAGGAGCCATTCCGATCCAGTCCATACACAGAAGCTTGAGAGCACCGAACACAGCGAGAGAGATGCCCTGGGAGCCCACCAATAACACTTCATCATCTTCGCATCCCTCTTCCACTCGTGCATAAGATATAATTTTTACACTGGACCTCAGTCCCTGACCACACCTGGGCCATGCCTGGACATCAGCCCATGGCCACACCTGTCACCCTGGACCTCAGCCCCTGGACACATCTGAACCACACCTGTACCTCGGTCCGTCGCCACACCTGGGCCATGCCTAGTCATCAGCCCCTGGCCACATTTGGGACACATGGACCTCAGCCCCTGACCACACCTGGGCCACACCTGAACCTCAGTCCCCGGCCACAGCTAGGCCATGTCTGGACATCAGCCCCTGGCCACACTTGGGACACATGGACCTCAGCCCCTGGGTACACCTGGGCCACACCTGAATCAGTCCCTGGCCACATCTGAACCACACCTGGACCTCAGCTCCTGGCCACACCTGGGAAGTGCTGCCAGAAATCTTCTACCCCATGCTTTGGTGTCGGACCTCTTTACCTCCAGAAAGAAACAGACTTACACTGCACCCTGGAAGGTAATTTAAGAGACTGAGCCGGGGACTTGCTGCCAATGTAGACATGTTCACTGAAACACCTAAAACCCAACCTAATTCCCAACAAACCCTGGGACTAAACTGTTGCTTCACCTAGGACTTCTGGGAGTGCCTGCCCATTTCAGAAGAGTTATTTCCCAAGAATTTAAGAGCATTTTACAGTGACTGCTTTTCTTTCACATCATGTGTCTAAAGGACACAGTAAAATAAGAATAAGGCACCAAGCTGGTCTAAGCAAGCACAGAAGAGCGGTGAGGAGCACAGGGCAGTCATGGAGCACATGAGTAGTGACAAGCCAGAGCCCAGAGCTGCACGGAGGAATGTCAGTGGCAAAAGCCAGAACTAATGCTGCAGAGTCTGATCAGGACACAGACTGACCAGTCACCAGAAAGTGACTATTTTCCTGAACACAGTTCCAGGGCTTAGGTGTGGCCTAGGTATGCCTCAGAAAATTAAGTAGCTGGGAATCAGTTTGACAAAAGAGCTGAAAAACTTACACAAAGAAAATTATAAATCACTACTAAAATAAAAAGTAAAAATTAAAAGATGGAAAAACTTCTCCAAAGCAGTCTATCGATTCAATGCAGTCCCTATAAAAATACCCATGACAGTTTAAAAGACATAACTCAAATGCTGTTTAAATTTATATGGATTAACAAAACTGAACCAGGCAGGCAGACAGATGTGAAGGGTACCCCATGGCAAGTTTTTGGGAAATAATAAAACCAACTAGCCCAGAGGCTATCAGGACCCACCTTGCAGACACAGGAACTTAGGCCTGATTAGACCTTTAACTGTCCTTAGCACAGACCCAGAGAAGGCTGCCCCCCTCCGCCCCCCACAAAAGCTCCAACAGGAACAAAGGCCAGGAAGATCATCTATCAAAGACCATCTTCTACTCCCAACTCTCCTCCATGGCAACCACCCTAGCAATGACCCTTGCATAGGAGAAAGTCCCAAGTGGGGCAATTTGGGAGAAAGCCTCTGAAAACCAACTTAAACAAAGGAAGCACATGCATGTGCTGCCTGTGCCCATGTGTTGCTGCCAAGCACATGTGGTGTCTGAGTACATGTGTCGCCTGCATTTCCCCTCACTTTTTGGACCACATCAGTAGATGTTCTGGGATAACTCCTGGCTCTGCACTCAGGACTCTTTCCTGGCAGTGCTTTAGGGACAATATGGGGTGCTGGGAATTGAACCCAGGTTGGCCGTGTACAAGGCAAATGCTCTACCTGCTGTATTATGTCTCCTCTCCATTCCCTCATTTTCCCTCTTTTTTTTTTGGCTTTTTGGGTCACACCAGCGATCTCAGGGGTTAGTCCTGGCTTTGCACTCAGGAATCAGTCCTGGCAGTGCTCGGGGGACCATATGGGATGCCAGGGCCTGAACCCGGGTCAGCCATGTGCAAAGCAAATACCCTGCCAGCTGTACTTTCACTTCGGCCTCTCACTTTCCCTCTTGAGGTGTGTACTTTTACACTTTCATGTCTGATGGTGCAATGTGTACTGGGGGTCCCTCTCCACTCTGGAGAAGTCATGTTCTCTCTTGAGCACATTATTCTCTCTCTCTCTGTCTCTGTCTCTGTCTCTCTTTCTCTCTCTCTCTTTCCCTTCTTCCCCTTCTTCAAAACTTCCACATAAAACCTAATTTTTTTTTACTTCACTGCTCATTTTCTCCTGAAATTCTTTTCTGAGAGAAAGGCAAGAACCCAAAAAGCCTGGGTAAGCTCTAGACCTGACTTTCTTTCCTGCAAGGAGCAAGGCCCACAGCAGACTCTTATCAGTCCTACACTTCCCCAGGCATTCCCTGGGTGGCAGAGGCAGAGAAAGAGAAAGCAACCGATTCCCTTCTCAAGGGTGCCTCCTCTCTCCTCTCCACTTCACATAAGTCAACCAGGGATGCCATAAGCATCAAAACTCTGAATAGCAAAAGAAACCATAGGGAAAAAAGAGTGTGAAAGGTTTTTCTTTCCCTATCTTCAAATTATTCTATAAAGCTGTTATAGTCAAAACAGTGTGGTGTGGAATGAGGACAGACTCTCATACCAATGGAATATAACTGAGAACCCTATGACAGATCCTCAGGTGTATGGGCAGTTAATCTTCAATAAAGCCATAAAAAGTATGAAGTGAAGCAAGAAAAGCCTCTTCAATATATGGTGCTGGAAAAACTGGTTTGTCATATATAAAATAACGAACTCAGACTTCTAACACCAAGCACAAAAGTCAAATCAAATCAAGCTGGATTCAAGGCCTCAATATAAGACCTGAATCCATAAATTATATTGAGGAAAACATACGTTAGAGCCCTTCATGACATTGAATCTTAGAAGTATCTTCAATAATTCAATGCCATTCACAATGCAAAGAGAAGCAAAGATAAACAAATGTGATACATGACACTAAGAAGTTTCTGTATTGTCAAAGAAATTATGACTAGACTAAAAAGACACCCCAGAGTCTGAGAGAAAACATTTTCCCACTACTCATCTAACAAAGGCTTAATATCCAAGATATATAAAGCACTGGTAGAACTTTTGGTGGGAGCAACACCCACCTGTACTCAGGGTTTATTCTGAGCAGTCGCAAGGGACCATATGAGGTGCCAGAGATGGACCCTGGACTGGTTGCATGCAAGGTGAATGCCCTACCCACCATTCTATCACTCTGGCTTCAACATTGGTAGAACTTTACAAGGGAAAAAACAATAAACACCATCAAAATTGGAGAGAAGAGATGAACATAAATTTCCTCAAAGAAGGCACACAGATGGTCAAAGCAATTTTTTAAAAAATGTTCTATTTACGGTTAGGGAAGTACAAATCAGAATGAGAGATCATCTCACACCAGTGAGACTGGCACATATCACAAAGAACAAAAACAACCAGTGTTGGGGCTGGAAAAAGAGTACAGTGAGAAGTGTGCTTGCCATGCACATAGTTAAACCTAGGTTTAACCCCTGGCTATGGTCCCCAAACACCAGCAGGAGTGATCTTTGAGTATGGAGCAGGAGTAAGCCCTGAGTACTGCCAGGTATGACCCAAAAACCAAGGAAGGAAAGAAGATAGATAAATAAATAAATAAATAAGGACCCAACAATC